CAAAAAATATATGCAAGGAGTTAAATTTATTAGGTTTCCCAAACCTTGGAGAGATATTGAAAAAGTGTCAAAGATGGGTGAATGCTTGTAAGCGGTTCATTGGTGGATCCAAAGGAGGGTAGGTTCCGGTGTTGGAAGCCCCCTTTATTTTTTGTCAAGTGGAGAGAGAGAGAGAGAAAGAGAGAGAAAAAACATTTTCCGAGAATAAATTAAAATACATGTATTTGTACGTCTAACATATGTATTAAATAGATAGATTCTCACACATTAAGTTTCTTCCACTCACTATTCCCTTTTATATGAAAGAATATAGAGTATACAGTACAACCCTGGAACTCCCCTTTCAAAAATGGCTGGATCCACCTCTGAAACGGGAAGGATTTTCCACAAAATTGGGTATTATCCGTAAAATCACATGTAATACTGGATATTAGGGTATCGTTGAATCCATGAGATCTAGTATTAAGGCGTTGTAATCACTAATTTATTAAACTTAAACAATGGGATGGCACATTTTGCGGTACGTGTCAACTTTCACCTGGATGCAAATGTTTTCTTAAGGTATCACCAGTCAAGTAAGAATTTGGAAGTCAGGATTAATGCACACTGGAAAATAAAAGCTATAGAGCTTAGTACATTTCATGATCTGCACCAAACAGGCGTTTGTTCTGCTTAATATTTTTCATAATGTTTGAAATATTTGCATCCTCTTCATGTTCATTACCCAACACAACAGAATTGTTAATCAAAAGTTGAATGTGCATGTTTAGATCTATGCATTGATATATCTGAATGCTTGTATCTCAGCTCCTTTTAGTCCTGAAGAGTTAGATATACTAAAGTACTTTTGGTTTTCTCACATTTCAGGAAGCTCTTACCTTGAGTCACTAAAGAGTTTGGTGCACTTCCCATTATTTTCAGAGTTTATAAATTATTATTTAGATATTATTATAGATTAAAAAACTTGTTGCAGATCAAGAGAATTCAAACTTACTTTTACAACATGCATATTTAGAGGATGTAAAACTTGCAGGAAGTGGAAAAACATGTTGGCAAAACTGTATACAAACTATACTTGATGAAGTTATTGGTTCAAATGCTAATACATTATCAATAAATGATTTTGAAAATAATTTGAAAAAATATTTTGAGAATATAGGTTTTAAGGATATAATAAATATCAGAGAAAAAGGTAATGGCAAATTATCATTCTACAGTCAGTTAATAAGTCAAGTGAATCTGAACAAACTTGAAATTCAACCATACTTAAATTTTTCCATTTCCAAGAATCTTCGTTCTTTTTTGACTCGATTGAGAATAAGTGCCCACAGATAGAGGTTGGCAGATATTGTAACCCAATTATACCAAGAGATGAAAGATTTTGTATTAATTGTCAAAATGTCGTTGAAGATGAACATCATTTTTTATTTGTATGTCCTCTGTATAAACAACTAAGAAGTGAATTTTGTACACTTTTTAATAATACATGTATATCTTATGAAATTCTTAATCCAGCAGATGTTAATTCTACAAGAAATATTTGTAACTTCATACGTGATGCATGTAATATAAGAAAATCTATGTGACTAAATATTTTATATTTGTTTACTGTATATATGACTTGCGCCACATGTGGTTTTTGTCAAATTGAATAAATAAATAAATAAAAGAATTCAGATTAATATAGTTTATTGCAATTAGAGTGGTTTGTCCTTTTGATGAAAAATGGGAATTCAGTAAATTACATAATTAAACATTAGACCACGATAAATAAATGAAGAAGATGTATTTGTGAAACACTCTGGCCCCCCGTGTGGCAATATAGCGAAGATGCAAATTTAATATATTGGTACCAAAAGTATGGTATTCTTACTGGAAATACAATTGTGAAATATGAAAGTAGGCTAAGGCTAAAGTTAATCCATAAGTACGGAAATCTCCAAGTTAAAGGTCAAAATGTCATGATTGTTGGTATGCTATGAAAGGTCTTCCCACAAAGAATACATATGTGAAGTATGAAGCCCTAACCCTTCAAAAGTTATGAACAATGATATTTTTTTTAAAGTAGGCCAAACTCCAAAGTCAAATGTCTTGCTATAAAATGAAAGGTCTTGTCATAAGGATTAAATATATAAAGTATGAAAGCACTAACCCAAAACCTTTTCAAGTTATGGTCAAGATTTGCCTTATAAAAGTAGGTCAAACTCCAAGGTCAAAAGGTCAAAGTTCTGGGTCTTCTTACAAGGATTACATATGTACGTATAAAAAGCACTATTTATCCCTTACCATCCAAACTTATGGCCAAGGTTAAAGTTTTTTCATAAGTATGGAATCTCGTAGGTCAAGGTCAAAAGGTCAAGCTTGTTAATATCTAATGAAAGGTCTTTCCACAAAAATACAAATATGAAGTATAAATGTCCTGGTATCTAATGTTCAAAAGATATGGCCAACTACCTTTAGGCAAATGTTGGGGTCAGAATATGAATAAAAAATTCCCAAAGAGACAACAAATCATGTTTATTCCAAGCCTCCGTCTATCAGTACTTTCAGTACTTTGATTCAAAACATAGGATGAGCTTTGAGTACTAAGCTTTTTTTACTGTCAAACGTTTCTTTAAAACTGTGTAAACTACTCCCGATATGATGTCTATCAAATTTGCTATGTGTCTTAACGTCATCATACATCATCAATGATCATTTGTTGAAATTTGACAAACAGTACACTAGTTGTTATATTTTTTGTTGGCAAGGACGGTACCAATTTTTGATGCCTATTATATATTTTTTATCATTAAAATCCACCTGCTCATTTGTCTTTAAAACAGACATTGGTTGCCGTAAATTTTACATATTTCAGTGAATATTTCTTTGGGATTCTTAACGAGTTTTACAGCAGCTTTAATGAAGCGTTTAATTTCATTCTAGTTTACTGATTCTTTACCATTCAATTTCAATGCAGTGTCTCGAATAGCACTTGTTTTGCAGCTTCTCACAGTGAAAGTATGTGATGAAAAGTGGTCACATAATTTTTTATAAATTCAGCATTGGCGTCGGAAGCAAATTGAAAGTGGGGGGGGATAAGAGTAAAAAAAATTTTATACCTTCAAAAATACCTGACAAGCAAAAAAAAAAAAAAAGTCCGTCTCCGAAACACGAAAATCCTATTTCTTGGGTTCGTGGGGGGGGGGGGGGTGCTAGATCCGAACTTCAGTACCAAAATTTTTTTCCAAACACCACCGATTTCCCCATTTTTAACCTATACTGCGACGTGTCTGTGGAAAGTGTGTGTGTGTATGGGGGGGGGGGGGCTAAATCTACGAAGCAATGTTCAATATCTATACTAAGTATATGTTTGGAAAAAAAGTGGCTTAGCCCCCCCCCCCCCCCCCCCCCAGCCCCCCGGTTCCGACGCCTATGTTCAGTAGAGATTCAATGATGCGAAAAAGACAAGCTTAATGTCATATGATGTCTGTATTCTATGTCATACCGTTCAGGACATTATTTATTGAACAGCCCTCGTTTATCCCGGTGAGCTTGAATAAAAGACCATAGATCTGGCACATCGTTTCATATTTGGATATTACTTGAAAAAGACATTAATCGCAATCTAACAAACAGGTTTATGATAAACAAGACGACTTTAACTCTGTACAACTTACTGAACTGTTATGCAACATACACTTAATTTCCACGTCATAGAAATAGAACTTTACCATTTCCCCGCAAGCATCCTTTAGCGTGGTACACGTTTCTCTAAAGTTTAGCGTAAATAATATTCTGATATTAAATTTTGACAGAAAAATAACTCAAGTTTTCTTATTTTATGAGATTTTTGCAAGTATAAAGTAGAAGGACATTGGCATTAAATTAAAGATTTTAAAATGAACTTTTTAAAGTGCGTGAAAATGCGTGATTGCGGGGAAACGGTATATGCGTGATTTTGCGTTAGAAATAGGAAATGGCATATGCGTTAAAATGCGGGACTGCGGGGAAGGGGGTTAACTTTACTATCGCCAATTTCCCTTACTTATGCAGCAATATACCTTCATCACCTGCATACGGGGTTTATATCTCTTAATTAATTCGATACGCAAGAGCATGCTCTACGTATCAACAATTACTAAAACGAAGTAAATTATTGACCAACAAGTTGATGAAGCAAGAATTTCAGCAGTCTCATTAGTTTGTAAGTTCTATGGTCGATACAATGGCCCTGTCAGCAAGTACAATTAATCAGGGTCAAATGCTGACTGACGTTTTTTCATACTGTTAGTCCATTATTTAAACACTGAACTGACGGCGGATTTTCCGTTATTTCCTGATTATGACAAAGAGCACACGGCAGGAGACGCTCAGAGACAAATGAACTTTAATGTCCCCCCTTTTCTCCGAAAACCGGGGACAGTTATCGAACAAAGATTGATTGATTGATTGATTGTTTATTGTTTAAAGTCCCTCTCGAAAATTTTTCACTCATATGGAGACGTCACCGTATGCCGGTGAAGGGCTTCAAATTTTGACCTTTACTCGGCACTCAGGGCCATTGAGCATGGAGGGATCTTTATCATGCCAACGCCTACCGCTGACACGGGGCCTCGGTTTTTAAGGTCTCATCCGAAGGACCCGCAACTTTCACTTCAAAGTGCCGAGCGCATGGCGAAGGAACAGTTGCTAACCATTTTAACGACTAGGTCAGTCGGGGCCGAGATTCGAACTCACGACCTCCCGATCACAGAGCGAGCGCTCTACCGACTGAGCTACCGTGAACGGTTATCAAACAAAGACGATATTATTAGACGCCTTGCCTGCTGTTTTTTATCACTTTCAATTAAATGAAAAAAAATTAAACAGTAGGATAGATAATTTGCATCTGGTCTGTAACGTTTCAAACCCGATTCTGTTGTTTCTATGGACTTCTATGAACTTTTGAACTTGATTCCTGTTTTTCATCTTGATCTTTCATATACGTAAAACACATACAATTGATTTAATACTATTACCTTCATGGCAGCTTTTCTCATGAAGATCTTGGCTTTTTCTCCCCAAATTGCAGGTACTGTCAAGATGAAGTCTATGTCTTCTTCTTTGGTGAATACTAATGTTTTCTTAATCTCATCAAACAGGTGGTTTTTAAGGTATTTGATGCAGTGCATGAACACTGTACCTGCTTCTAGAGTATATCCTTTTATATCCTTGCACAGTATATGCTTGATGTGGTTCTATAAATGTTAAATATATAAGGCTCTAAAATGATAATCAACACAAACAATAAAAATTGTCAAATTACGACCTATCCCTTCCTCATTAAAAAGAAAAAAAAGTTCAGAATTCATAAAACAATGAAAAAGAAATTGAAAACAACTAGCACTACTACTGAACTACAGAACACCAAATATTTACAGTGTTACATGCTTAATAAGAAGTTTCTAATCGGTTGAAGGGAATTAAATCTGGAGCGCTGTGAAATGCGTCCGGTGTATCGGGTGTACTCTGACGATTTATTTACATAACTTAACGAATTAATCATCCTTAATTAATTGCGACCATGTAGTAAAAGATACACTGTGACTGTCTTATTCTCTCTAAATAGCGTAAATTTCCAAGATAAAAAGAAACCAAAGAAAGATGATATGCAAAGGCAATTTTTAAAATTAGAATTAGGATATGATAAAAATTTGGAAATGTTGACCGGATAAAAGAAAATTTAAAAATATGCTATACATGTAAATACGTGCGCAAGTTGTTCCCGAATCGTTAATGTGAATATGGCTTTTTCTCTAAGCATCTGTCTATCTTGAATCATGGCCAATAAGCGTTTTGGCCATGTCCTCCCATTTGTGACCTTCTAGGCTGAAGTGTACCCCAATGGGATCATTAAGTTTTTTGATCCGAATGGTTAAACGGTGATAATTGACTCTCCTGTGGAGATCTGTTTCCCCAACATACTGTTTGGAACAGAATTTGCAAATTATGAAATAAATGCCGTTGTCAGTATGACAGGACAAATTCCCTAGTATTTTCTGGCTGCGGCCTGTAACGGGGCTTTTAAAGCTGTCTGTGTCAGAGCTGTGCTTACAGCTAGAGAAGACATCTTTTGTCAGATCAAGCTTTAAAGCCTCCATTAGGTAATACAAGTAGATTGTCCAATCTGTTTTTACTAAAATGTTGTTTGGGTCCCTGAGGCGTCTTTATGCAGTCAACGAAAATTCCTTAGAGACCTCTGCCATTCGTTCATCTGATTGGAGAATTGGCAGGTGCTTTTTAAAAATACCGCCAAGGTTCTTAAGGACGGGATGGTATGTGGTTACCAGAGTGACCCTGCTGCTACTGTCTTTCTCCTTGTAGTGTTATAGATTTTGCCTGTCATGTCCTGTCATCTTATCAATGGCAGTTTGTACGGTTTGTGTAGCATATATTGCATAAATGGGATTTGAGGATTTTGATATAAGGCAGGGGATAAACAGATGCGCCGGATTCTAATTGCTAAACCTTTAGACACACCAATACATGTACCTCCGATTCCAAGTCTAAATCCTTGTTGTTGAAAATGGGGGAGCTTTCTTCGGTGCTGTATTTCTGTATTCTTGCGTATAGTATGTTTTCAACGAGTTTTTGTAAAAAGACATGAGGGTTAAATCGCCATAGCTATTCACTTAAAAAGTGTAATAATTACTCCTTTTTTCAAATTGACGAGGGCTGCTCTCTTTTCCATGAAACCTAATTACTTACTTATTGTTTTCTCAAATTCGAGGTCAAAAGACGGAATTTTTTATTTTAAAAATTGGACCAGATCCATGATTTTGCGTCGGAGGTGCTATTGAATGGCGAGGGGTCTTGGTACTTCCAAAGTTCTAATAAGTGGTCAAGGACAGTTTATGTGCTGGGGAGACATATAGCTTCGCAGCTTCAGTGAATGGGCAATTAGAAAATCTAATTCTGACTTCAGGAAAGAAAGATACCAAAGAAACTTTCAATTAAACTTGTACAGATCAGTGCCGTATACGAACAAACACAGATACACGTAACTGCAATAAAATGTAAACAAAGGTAATGCAAGATAACCAGCACGAACACGGGTCGCCATTGCGCGCTGATACTTATGGAACGCCAAATTAACATATATTCAAATATTTGTACCTATCTTCAAATAATTGCACCTATCTTCAAACAATTGAATTAAAGATAGGTACAATTGAATTGAAGATAGGTATAAATAATTATACCTATCTCTAAATAATTATACCTAGGTACAAATGAATTTTACCTATCTTTAAGAGAATTACACCTATCTTCAATTCAATTAAAGATGGGTTCAATTGAATTATACCTATCTCTAATTCATTTGAAGATAGGTATAACTGATTTAAAGATAGGTTCTATTAAGACATATCCACAAAGGATTTGAAGATAGGTACAATTCAATTATACCTAGGTTCAATTCATTTTATGTTGTTGGTAAATAATGAACGCTCCCTTGGAGACAATATTGAGTATGGAGGGAAACGCACAGAACCTACTGAGCGACGACAACAAGGATGAAAGGAGAAATAAGGGTTAATTCAAAATGTGCAAAAATCATCATATACTTATGAAAATACACATGTATATCATGTAGGTATACCTTGTATTGCAGCCAGCTGATGAAGATTCCGATTAACTTTCGCGCCAGCTGTGACGTATCGGAAATGACGTATGATAAAGGGAGTATTTGTTATTGCCAATATCTTAGTAATTAAAGATAGGTTCAATTCAATTGTACCTATCTTTAAATTAATTATATCTATCTCCAATTCATTGCATTTGTACCTATCTTCAATTTAATTGTACCTATCTTCAAATGAATTAAAGATAGGTATAATTGAATTGTACCTATCTCTAATTCATTTGAAGATAGGTACAATTGATTTAAAGATAGGTACAATTCATTTGAAGATAGGTACAATTCAATTGCAGATAGGTACAATTATTTGAAGATAGGTACAAATATTTGAATATATGTTAATTTGGCGTTCCATAGATACTCGTGACAATAAAGCAGTCAGGTGTGACGAGTCTGAAGAGTATACCCAGAGGCCTGCTCGCTCTGCTGAACAGGCCTCTGGTGTGAATTGATGTGTTGTAGAAATTGATCGAAAATGGCAAATGCCTATTTAGGAGACGTGTTCACCTTTAAAAGTACTTGGACACAGATTTGAAGTCAATATTTTCTCTTTAATATTACGACTTATATATTTTAATAGCATTTCACACAAAAATTAATTAAAAATCTTATTTCATTTAAAAGTTATTAAGACTTAAAATTTTTTGGCGGGTTTGATTGACACGTCCTTGCACTTTCACAAACCTTATTCTTAATCCTTAGGAAAAGTGGCAATTTTGATGTGTATCAATGAGAAATATTAAAACTTTTATCAAGAAAAATAATTTTATTCAGAGTAGAAATGTTAGAAAGCAAAACATCTTCACAAGTATCGTCATTCCGAACTAAGAGTTGCGTACAGATTGTATCAAATCCAGCACACTCGTGTTATGTACACAGTTTTTGTAAACAGGGCTCGAGTTCTGTTTTTGTTTATGTTTAGAATTCACCGGGTGTGTTCCAATCGTCACAGTCTGCTTACCACAACTGCACGGACTGACAATATATTGTGTGTTTGTTTTGCTTTCGAACATGTCTACTCTGAATTCTCTAGATAATAGTATTAATATTTTTCTGGATTATAGTATTAATATTTTTCATTTATACAAAACGAGATTGCCACTTTTCCTAAGGATTAAGAATATAATTAAATTATTGAGAGTGCAAGGATATGTCAATCAAATCCGCCAAAATATTTTAAATTTTACTATCTTTTAAATGAAATAAGATTTTTAATTAATATTTGTGTGAAATGCTTTTAAAATGTATAAGTCGTAATATTATAGAGAAAATATTGACTTCAAATCTGTGTCCAAGTACCTGTAATTATTTGTACTTTGTGTAAAAACGTTACAGTATTCGATTAAGAAAGCTCAGTTGAGCTTAAAGCGCTATGAAAGTATTGTTAAGAAAAAAATTCTTTGATACTGACCACATCTTCATGGAGAATCATTGTGAAATTTTGAAAGAAGTAATAATTTTCGTAATCTTTGTTGTCGTATGCTGTATGTTCTGCATATCTGTCTTCTGCTTCATAACCAAAGTACGACTCGGACTGGTCCTTTTTCAGAAGAAGACATGTTGGGGCCTTGTGAGTCAAAAGAGATCCTCCCTGCCAGATGCTCGTCATTACTCTACCCCAGTCATGTTTCACAGAGAATGCATATCCGGAATATGAAGTCCCAAGGTCAATGGCAGCCACTATTAAATTCAGACACTTACTAGCAACTTTTTCATCCATTTTTTCTTGGTTAATACCCTTAAGTTTATAAATTTCACTAAAACACAAATTTAAGGATTCTTTCTTCTTTCGGTTTAACAAACATGCTTTTACACAACTCCATTCTTTTTTCACGAGCTACAGCATACCCATTACCCATAGAATGTGTATCTTATGAGGTGGTGTTATTCCCCAATAATGGGTATTCAAATTAATGCAAGAGCACTTTAAATAAAACGTCATAGGTATGGCACGCCAAATTCACAAAAATGAGATAAACCTAGTTTCACAATTGATAAACTAGGTTTATCGACTGTAAACTATAGTTTACAAACCGTAAACTATAGTTAACGATTCGTTAAGTATAGTTAACGATTCCTTAAAGGTACTTGGACACAGATTTGAAGTTAATATTTTCTCATTTTTTCTGTATAATATCACGAATTATATATTTTAATAGCATTTCACACAAAAATTAATTAAAAATCTTATTTCATCTAAAAGTTATTAAAACTAAATTTTTTGGCGGGTTTGATTGACACATCCTTGCACTTTCACAAATTTTAACTTTATTCTTAATCCTTAGGAAAAGTGGCAGTTTTGATGTGTTTTAATGAGAAATATTAAAACTTTTATCCAGAAAAATAATTTTATTCAGAGTAGAAATATTAGAAAGCAAAACACCTTCACAAGTATCGTCATTCCGAACTAAGAGATGCGTACAGAGTTTAGCAAATCGAGCACACTCGTGTTATGTACACAGTTTTTGTAAATAGGGCTCCAGTTCTGTTATTGTTGATATTTAGAATTCACCGGGTGCGTTCAATCGTCGCAGTCTGCTTACCACAACTGCACGGACTGACAATATATTGTGTGTTTGTTTTGCTTTCAAACGTGTCTACTCTGAATTTTCTGGATTAGAGTATTAATATTTTTCATTTATACAAAACGAGATTGCCACTTTTCCTAAGGATTAAGAATAAAATTAAATTTGTGAGAGTGCAAGGATATGTAAATCAAACCCGCCGAAAATTTGAAATTTCTATATCTTTTAAACGAAATAAGATTTTTAATTAATTTTTGTGTGAAATGCTATTAAAATATATAAGTCGTAATATTATAGAGAAAATAATAACTTCAAATCTGTGTCCAAGTACCTTTAAAGCCATATATGGCGTAAGTGATCAAAAATAGATTTTGTTGATAAACATAGATTCACATTTGTAAACTATAGTTTACAATCGTTAACTATAGTTAAGAGTTGTTAATCATAGTTTCACAAATCGTGAAACTATATTTATCAGATAATCTATGTTTTGCAATCGCAAATGATTGTTTTCAGTGTTAAGTATGTTTACGGTTGTGAAACATAGATTATCGCGTTAACTATGGTTTACGGATGTAAAATATAGATTAACGTTGTTTACTATAGATTACAGTCCGTAAACTATAGTTTACCACCGATAAACCTAGTTTATCGACTGTGAAACTATGTTAAGCTCATTTTTGTGAAATTGGCGTACCATACATAGGCATACAATTTTTATAAGATATACCAGTATCAATAAACCTTTGTCTTGAGCCTTTTAGAAACCATTGTCTAATTTGATTGATACGCCAAAGGCGTCAACGATAGTTGAAAACATTCTGCGTGGCGCATTGGCTAGAGCTTCTGCTCTAGATTCGCGAAGTATGGAGTTGATTCTTACGTCGCGGGTTCGAATCCTACTTAGGGATGTGCATGGATACCAGTCCTTCGGATGAGACCATATAAACCTAGGTCCTGTGTACCAATGTATAGGACAAAATTTGCAGCCTACCACCGGCAAGTGGTGGCGTCTCCATATATATATATGTCAATCAAACCCGCCAAAAATTTGAAAATTTAATATCTTTAAAATGAAATAAGATTTGTAATTAATTTTTGTGTGACATGCTATTAAAATATATAAGTCGTAATATATATTATAAGAGAAAATAATAACTTCAAATCTGTGTCCAAGTACCTTTAAGGCCCCCTGTGGGTTTTGGGCGAAGCCCTGGTGAAGGACGAGGGAGGAAACCCCCAGAACTTGGGTTATCGTGTATTTTAAGAGTAAAACCAGGCACAATTATAGTGGTATTGGTTATTATGAACCAAAGTATGACATTATTAATACTAGTCATATCATACTTTGAATGAAGGGGGGCCCAGGGGGCGAAGCCCCCTGAAGCTCTTGGTTTTTTTGTGTATCTTAAGAGTAAAAGTAGGCACAAAAATATTGGTATTGTCTCAAAGTATGGCATTATTATAATAATTCATATCATACTTTGAAATTTTAGGGGAGGGGTCGTACAAGTATGCCCCCTCTTAAATCCGCTAGTGTATATTTTGTTTTAATTTATCAGGGAAGTATAATTCTTTGACAAGAAAATGTGTTAGAATTGGCTTGCATTTAAAGTGATTCAGCACACCTACTGAGTGAACATTGTAATGTTGATAAACTGACTACACGTATCCAGTCTGGTAATCTTTAAATACTACTTGGTTCAAAAATGCGATCGAAACGAGCCAAAAAAATATGCTGAATTGAAGATTTTGAGGTTAAATTACAAGAAATAAAGAAGGTATTTTTCACAATATTTAAATATCATAAGTCAAGGTCAGATTATTTATTTTCTTTGTAGTAGAGGACAGATTATTTATTTTCAACATTTTCTGGGACAGATTATTTCAAAAATCTGCCAGCCCCCCTCCCCCCTCAGAATCAAATGGTCGTCCACTAATCACTGCTGGTAAAGTGCGAATCGAGAAAATCTTGGTTTCGGACACTAGCTACTATTGGTTTACATAAATGAGGCAACACAGATCAATTTAACGTGCCGGCATGACAGTTCATTTGATTAAGAGGTAATTATTAATGTATGAAAATTTTTTTTACTGTCTATTATTGCTTGTTCCATAAATACATACGAGAAAAACACCAGTAACTGCTTTGGTAACACATTATAAATGTTTGTTACTTGACTTTTCCATATAAGAAGTTTTACATGTTTTACACAAATTATATTGCATTAATTACGTTAAAACTTATTTTTGTAAGTGATATTCTAATCGTAAATGATTTTTTTCTTTCTGTAATGTTTCACAAGACTCACATTTTGATACAATATTAAGTTTTCCAATAACGATGCGAATATTATTGCTGTATATGCGACTTTCGGCACCTGTAAATGCTACTTCTGGCTTGTTTTTTTCCAACTGGTGCGACGTTTTACTGCTGTATATATATATATATATATATATATATATATATATATATATATATATATATATATATATATATATATATATATATATATAATATACACTACAAGGGCTATAGTACATAAGATGTAATTGTCTTACAGATGACAGAATTTGGTTGTTTTCGCTGTCAATTCACAGGATCATCGTTTGAAAACACAGTGCATCACACTATCCATCATCATATAAAAGAGCAATTAATTATTAAGATAAGAACTCTTCAAAACAGAACATTCCAAAATATAAATTCTAAAGTAACATCCGAAACAGAATCCAAAGCTGGTAGAAGTATTATTCCAAATGAAAAGAAAAGAAATATTAAAGTGGTCAACATAGAAGATTCTTTGGACCTCCCTCCAATAAAAAAACGAAAGGTTTTAGAAACTGAGAATGAAGGAAAGAATGAAAATCATGAGATACAAGATAAAGCAGACAGCGGAAAAGAAGATGAAGCAAATGTTATCATAGATTGTGGACAATTAACTGACAATGCAAAGCATTTTATCAAAGATGTGTCTAGTTATCTACCCCAAGTGGCTGAATACATAGTTGAAAATGAAGAGGTAGAGGAATGGACAAATCTTATCAGAATCATGGCAAACAAAAGCCTTCCTCTAAACATTTCCTATAAACTGTTCATGAACGTCGTTACTTGGTTTGCAACACACAATTCCTGTGGAATGCGATACGATTCCAATGTGAAACGCTTCTGGAGAACAGGAAAGCAATTGTGCAAAGATAAATTTTTGAGATTTATGTCAGGACTAAAGCACAAAGGTCAAACGTTTGAAGACGGTGTTCAGCTAGGCCAGTTTGAAACAAAGGATTCAAAGATTAACTTTATTGTTCCAAGCAAACAAGTTCTAGAAACAGAGAACGACACAATTAAAGAAAGTTGTCAATCACCTGGCATTATGATTCCAGTTATAGAACAAATTGCATCGAAGTGCGAGTCCAAATCAACTGCTTTTAAACTGAGTATGGATTTAAAAAATCCTGGAGGCAAATTTGGGGATGTGAACTGCTTAGGATTTGAGATGAAGTCCACATTCATTGAGAGAAATGAAAGATTACATGATGAACTAGATATACTTACCAATGCAAGATCACTACACGAACAGCTAGAAATTGATAAAGACAACCAAATTAAAAAAAATTCACTACAATGCTTCCTCAAATAGTAAAAATACTAAGTAGAAGACAAAGAGATCTCCGAGAGCTGAAGACTAAAAGAGAATACACAATAGAAAAGCTAAAATCTGAAGCTGGATCAAAATGGAAGGACTCCAAAGTGGCGTATGTTCTAAGTAAAATTCAGATTTCACTTTGTGACATAAGAATAGTCATGTCAGATATAACCAAGACAACAAGCGATATATTGCGTATCGGCTCAGTTATGAATGGAATTCCATATCCAATATCAAACAAGGTAGATTTGGATTATCAGCCTAATTACAAGTGCTTAGTTGCCATGGATAATGAATTCGCACATCGCTGCAACATTCCACTGCGTGTTTCATGCAATTATGTCAAACAGCAATCCCCTGAGTGGTTATATCCGCAGCAATGCTTCTATAACTGGAAGCACAGCATATGCAGCAATAGGTCTTGAATCATTAAAACGGGAACAGGAACATTTTGATCAGAAATTCCGCAACAAAGAAACGGATCCTGTAAACGAGGAAACAAGGAAAAGAATGGCGCACGGAGAACAGAATGAAGTCAATGGAATGGCAACTTTGATAGCTTCAGTTCTTCCAACCTTTTACCCATATTTGCATTTCCAAGAAGAAGGCGCTCACATTATTGAAACTCATGTCCAGTAGCATATTGTCTAACTGGCTACAGTTTTACTTGTCAGATATACTCGCAGAAGTAAGGAAATGTTGTAGAGAAAGGGGTATCAACAGTGTGGCACAATGTTTTGATGGTGCGTTTGCTCGAATAGCATTGCGTGGAGAGAGAAATGAACCTCTTACCTTATTACAGCTTTCAAAAGATGTCTGGACAGAAGCGTGTTCTATGCCTAAACACCATATTGTGAAAAACATTTTTGAGAGTATCGAAAGTTTTGAAGATTTGAAGAGTAGAATCGATGTTCAGTGTAAAGATGTGCGCACAAAAAATGGCATAGGTCATCAATTCTGTATTGGCTACCTTGGGGAGAAGAAAAATACTCCCAGAACTCCAATAAACTGGAGGGAACTTCTAAATTCAGATAAAGAGACATTAACAATTCATCCTAAAGAAAACGGACAAATTGCTGAAGACATCGAAACAGTGATTTTACAAACAGCAGAAGATGACATTGGAACTGGAAAGGAAATTCAACAAATAACTGAAGAAGTACTCGTAATAGGGGACAATGAAAACACGGACATTGAAAATGAAGTTAACAACGATCTTGTTGACGATTTCAGTAAGTTCTATCTTCCAGCACAGAATGACAAAGAAACCTTAAAGGATTTGGATGATTATGAGAAGAATGCAATGTGGATTAGTTTTTGTCAAAATGGAAAACGGAGACACTGTTCAAAAGAAGAATTCCTCGACATAATATCCACATCCGCTTCATTGAACAAACTGACTAAGCAAGAAATAATTTCATTTTGCAGACCAATTAACGAGAAGCTAAAGAAGAATGGCATAAAGTCGCTGTCAAGTATGATGAAATGTGAACAAAAGTGAAATGTAAACAAATTTTTGGAAAAGTTTGGTGATGGATCCACTGTTGACATTGGAAGGAAGATATTTCAACCGCAATCGTTACGCTCTATAGTTAAAAGTTTTATTCAGAAAAAAATCCCCAAACACTTTTTGAATGCAGTACAAGCAGCATGTATTTATCCTCGTGAATTACAGAAGTGGCGGGATGAAGCAACATTTCAGGATGGTTGCACGATCAGTGGTTCACAGAAACCACGTTTCTGGTATTGCCAGCCAAAATATATACCTTCTGAATCACAACACTTGCTTGAGTTCCTAGATCCTGAACATCTTTTGACAAACATGAGAACAAAGATATGCAGCACAGGCATGCCAAAAGCAAATATTTCAAGAAAAGCATGGGTAGAAACTGCAAAAAATGGAAAATCGAATAGGTCAAACTTAAATCTTGCACTAGTACAGGACTTAGTTGATAAACAAAATGATGGATTTGCCATCAAAACGTTCAGCTTAGAGGTTGAAAATGCCATGCGGGAAATCGGATTTGAAAACGAGGCAAACTTTTGTTCTTTGATGAGGAATTGGTACAGGGCACAAGACGAACGGGGCCTTACAAGTCTTGTCCGACATGAATACGAACAAAATTTACGAACATGGTTACTGAACAATGTGAGATTTGATGTTTTCCCACCACCTGGAAAACATGTTAAAGATGTACCAGTAGTACTATTTGAAGGTCTTTTAGTGCATATTGACCGTCGTTCACAGCTTTATGCTTTTACTGCAGGATCAATGGTAACATATTTCCTTTTACATCCCAGTCCTGGAAAGCACCGAACAAATTCTCGTTGTCAAGAGTTCCAAGACTTCTAGCATGGCACTATGTAAGATGGACTATGTGAAAGTCTCATTTTTATGCGCCCTGCTTGATAGATCCGAGGCGTATATTGTTTTTGTACTGTCTGTCAGTTTGTTTGAGATTTCATATTCAGCTCTTTCAAATGACACCGTGGTCAATGACTGTGACTTGTGACCTTGACTCTGACCTATATGTTAAAAATAGCGTTTTTGTCTGCAAACTTTAACCTTCGCTAGATACTTCATGTTTGGTATGCGCACTCCACTCATCAGGTTCTTTCAAATGATACCAAGGTCATTGCCCTTGTGACCTTGATTGTGACCCATATGAAAAAAATCTCTTTTTTGAACCATCACTATAACTTCTGAACCATCAAGAGATAGAGTCTTCATATTTGGAATGCATACTCCACTCATCAAGTTCTTTCAAATGAAACCAAGGTCAATGACCTTGTCATCTTGACTGTGACCTTTATGCTAAAAAAGCCGAGCGCATAGTGTTTCACAAACACATCTTGTTCATTCTGTGTTACAAGAGGAATTTCAGATAAGAGACGGACGAACAAAATGTTTAGAGTTTACAGACGGACGGACGATAGACAATGGGTGATTTGAAAGGCTCACTTGAGCTTTCAGCTCTCTGGTGAGATAAAAATACAACTTTTTAATAACATGTTAACATGGAAAGATAAGTTAACATTTTTTTTTCAGCTTTCATGATCAGTTTGTGGCTGATAAGTTTAACTGTGGAGTAAGTTTATTGCAGCCCGGAGGACCGGGCTACTTTATACATATAAGTTTAATTGTTGGTGTATGGGGATTGAGGTGGGAGAGGTTATTCAGAATTAAAGGTTTTCTAAACATTAAAAAGATTGCTAATCATAATGTTCTTTCCCTTTATAAATTACGAGATTCATAATATATTTACTTCCATAAAGTGAATCTGTAAAAATATATGTGTTTTTCATATTTAATTTATAAAGTTCGTAATCATTTAAATCGAAATACCGACAGATCCCCATTTTAGAACATCGAATTTTACTTACCGCATAAACACGTACTCTACACAGTTCGTGTTTTATATTCTTAAAGTGAAATACATTTTTGAATATACATGTAGGTGACGCATGTCTGGTTTCAATTTATATTTTATGCTGCCAACATTTACTTGAGGAATTAATAAAGTTTAAAAGGGTATTGTTTTTGTTCGATTTTCATCCGACTATAAGTTTTCAAAATAATCTCGACTATCGTCTCCATCATCTAGACGCATGCCTTTTTTTTTTTACACATCGAAGAGGTTTTATGATCTAGACGACTCATTTCCATTGCTTACTTTATTTACTTCCCGGGCGACAATTGATGGTTACATCAATGTTTTAATTCTTGTTCAAAGCTGAAAGAACTAAACAGAAGTTGATTCCATCATTTAATAATAAGAAATTATATCTCCATATGTTTCATATATATAAATAAATACATTATAAACTGTACATAAGGACCCCTCCTCTCAGCAGTTGTGTGTAAGAGTATAATGTGGCATTCTGTAATTAGCACGTGATCATAGACAATCATAACAGAAGTTTTACTGGGACTAAATAAAATGTTTAAACTTTTTTGCAATTTTACAGCATTTGACAGTTTTACAAATCTTCCATGTGTCATATAAATTCCATGGACTATAAAAATTAGATTATAATATATAAGTTGCTATCACAGAAAGAAACACTAGGTATAAGTACCGGGTATAATTTAATACCCCGGTATCACTGATCAGTCTTTAAGGAGATCAAAAATGACCTCACGTTGTACACCGGTATAAACATCCTTTGCTTTAAATCTGAGCTCAGTTTCTCCAAAAATTAAAGATTCCTCGATTTCACACGTTGTCTGCTTGCCATCAGCCGATAATGGAACTTGTAGAACCCCAAGCAACCTGCAACCGTCTTCGTCAACGTAAGTTGGATTCTTCTGGTCAGATATGAATACGCCACACTCAAGACACTTTTCCTGGCTATTCAGAGCTTGAAAGATCTGGGATTTCATGTAACCCGGCATGATCTTTTCACCTTTAGTGATGACCTTGAAGAATACATCTCGACAACGCAAGGATCCACGAACGTTAACCTTCTTAGTTTCCAGATGAAACCCTGGTCTAAATTCTGGCCATGTCTGGATTCCGTACGTATACCGTGCTGACCTTCGCGAGATGGCGTCGGGAACGTGACCAAAATACACAGCACCCTTGACAACAGCCAATCCTGCATCTTCTGGAACAATGATACTTTTTTTGTCAAAATTCTTTCTGATGGCATCCTGAACGAGCAGACACTCAGAAAAGCCTCCAACCATAATAATGATGTCAACATTTTGTATTGCATCTTCTTGGAACAATTCGTCCATATGTTTTACAATGCTATCGATGGTTTTCTTGAAAAATCCTCTAAAAAATTTGTTTTCCCATTTAAGCTTTCCCTGTCCAAATTTAACATTATTTCTGTGCAATTCATTCCTTTCAATGACTTCCTTGAAGTCTTTAACACCGTGATATTTCTTGCATAGTTCAAAAAGTACATGTGGAATAACCATATTTGTGACTCCTTCCTTGTTAGGTTTAATAGTCCTTTTCTTTGTTTCAAAAGTTCTCAAAATTTCAAGATGATCTTCCATATGTTTTTTCTTCAAGTCAGCCATAACACTTTCACCCATTAATTCTGATAAGAATTTCATAAACTGATCATCCACAGACTTCCCACCCCATGGGCCCCCACTTGCCGGAAGAACTTCTTCCAATGTATTGTCTTCGCATTTCTGATGCACTGTTATATCTGCAGTGCCACCTATAATTAAAAATCAGGGGTTTGATTAAACATTTAGGAAACCAGGTCAGAAGTCTCCGTTCAGACTGTACATTTACTAATATGTATTTATAACAGAGGAAGATAAAAGTAAAAGTTGGGACTTGAAACCTTACAACAGAATAAATAGAATAATGCTCCTCATTTAAGTCTATTTCTGTAGAAAGATTGCGACAAGACTACAATTGTCCGAGTAACTTTGAGTCAATATTACAGAATTTTCAATTTTAGTCATCATGGCAACACAAATCACCAAAATCTAAAAAGAAAAAAAACATTAAATACAATTATGTCTCTCGGACAGTGTAGTTTTCTTGTGTGCTAAATTACTTTAAAAACTGAAGGAGGAGAAGCATTTTTTAAATGTACCTCACAAAAATTTCTACTTTAGGCCAAAGGAACTCAATTCATTGAAATCAAAAAAACAATATTCAGAATTATGTAACTTAGTATAATCCACTCGTGTGCCAATAGAATTTTTTATTTTTAGTAACCATAGCAATATCGTTCATCGAAATTGAAAACTGATGAATAGATTTAAGTTTCTTAGTGTAGTCTACTAGTGTGCCAAGTTATATTGAAATCAGACCAAAACTGTAGGAGGAGTAGCATTTTGCACACGAGTGATGCCATGGTTACTAAAAAATGAATTTTCTATGAAATGAAAATCATATTGCTACACTTCGTTTATTGAAATCGAACCTCTAAATTCAAAATAGAATTATTTTTACTTTGTTTTACCCTAATAAAAACATTATAAAATTACAAGTGATAAATGCACATAACACACAAGACCTAATCACCAAAGTCCGTCTGGCGTATGGATACAGGGACTGCGTAGTTATTACCATTTCAGGCTTAGTTTGGACTTTCAGTAAGGGGTGGCATTCGCAACGTTACCTAATTAGCTTCTGAAATTTACACAGCTTCCCATCACTGTTGAAATATACATGTGATAGAGATGCGGTCGAATGTAGTAAATAGCCAGAAGTGGGGCTTAAGTCGTCTCATCGTTATCAACAACAATTTAAAGTTCCTGATGTTATTAATTTCGTAACCAATAAGAATCTACTAGTATTTGCTTTAACGTAGCGCCGCGAAAGTCACGCCCTATTGAAAGTCCAAAGATAGGGTGAAAAACTCATACTATATAAACACAGCGAAATATTTATGTCTGCAGGTGTTCAGATGCATGTATAGTACAAGATCAAATTTAGAATTAGAATTTAGGATTATCATTGACAAAAGATGTTTTATCTTAACTTTGCCATCTGTGTCTTTTTCTAAAAGCAGGCAAATAGAAGAAGTATAATTTTAAATAGAAATATAACCAGAAGTTATACTGGTTTGTACTTAAGACAAAGGAAGATAAAAGTAGCAGTTGCGCCTTGAAACTATGAAACAACAATAAACAGAAATATGATCCTTGCATTCATCAAAGCAAAAACCGATCCAGAGAATTATGTATCTTGGTGTAGTCTACTTGTGTGCCAAGTTATATTGAAATTGGACCAAAACTGTAGGAGGAGTAGCATTTTGAAAGAGTTTCAAAGCAATTTCTATTTTTAGTAACCATGGCAACATCATTTATTGAAATCAAAAACCAATGCACAGAATTATGCATCTCAGTGTAGTTTACTTGTGTGCCAAGTTATATTGAAATCGAACCAAATCTGTATGAGGAGTAGCATTTTGAAAGAATTTCACAGAAATTTTAATTTTAGTAACCATGGCAACACCGTTCACCAAAATCAAAAACGGATGCACAGAACTATGTACCTTAGTGTCGTCTAATTCTGTGCCGAGTTATATTGAAATCGGGCTGTAGGAGGAGTAGCATTTTGAAAAATTGTTTACAGAACAGATAGACAGACGGACGCCGGACGCATTACTATAGAATAAGCTCTGGTCTCTGACCAGTAGAGCTAAAAATTGCAGAAAATAGGTATAGGGGAAAAAATGTAAATATAAGATGAATATAGAGATATATGTGTTAAGTTATGAAATCAGACTAAAATTGTACGAGGGGTAGTATTTTGAGACTATTTCACAAAAATGTCTATAGGAACCATGGTAAAACCGTTCATCAAAATCAGAGTTCGATGTACAGAATTATGTATATATAAGTAAATAGTCTACTTGTGTGCCAAGTTTTATTGAAATTTGACCAAAACTGTAGGGGAGTAACATTTTGAATAATTGATTACAGACAGACGTACAGACAGCTAGACAGACAGACAACGGACAAATTACTATCGAATAAGCTCTTCTGGACTCTGACCAGTAGAGCTAAAGCATGTTTTCAGACAACCTTTTTGAAAACATTTAAGTGTTCACAACCTACCTCCAAGATCAACGACCATATACTTTGTACCCGGTTTGACAACGCCCAATGATTCCGAGGATGGGTCCTGCTGGGCCATTTGTAAATATTGACAGTATATAGATGCTGCCTCTGGCTCCAATGCTATGGTTAAATCCTCCTTCTTTATTCCTGCCTGCAAAAATACAAATTTTTAGTTCCCAGAAACATTTAACAATTGAATATGATTAAACAATGGGTACACGTATAAACTAACTGTTTGCAGGGAAATTTTCGCCCCGTTTTATTTTCGCCCTATCTATATTGGGGTGAATGCAAAGAATACAGTTTAATTGATTAAACAGAACTAAAATAACTGGGGGAGTTTAAAACGAGACAAAGATTGGAAGTGTGATGATTGATTGATTGCATATTGTTGAACTCCCTATCGAGAATTTTTCACTCATGAATATGGAGACGCCACCATTTGCCGGTGGAGAAAGCTCTGCAAATTGAGTCTCATACTCGGCACTTAAGGCCATTGAGCAAGGAGCTAGGTATCTTTTTGTGTCAGCACCTACTGCGACAGGGGACCTCGGTTTACACGGTCTCATCCGAAGAACCGTGTTTGGAAGTGTGAAAGAGCGAAAATAACAAGGGACGAAAATAACCCCTGTGCTCGGTCATTATGCTTTCTCCAAGGTCTATATATCTAGGAATTGATATCATCAAACTCCTATGTATGTATAATAATAGAAGGAAAGGAAAATCATATTTTATTACCTTAGTTGCAGCTTCCCTCATAAACATCTTTGCTTTGTCCCCCCAAATGGCTGGGACAGTCAACACATACTCTATGTCCTCCTCTTTTGTATTCAAAAACCTTTTCTGTATTTCTTCTTGAAGGTATGTCTTCAGGTATTTGATGCAGTGCAAAAAGACGACACCAGCCTCAAGTGTTTTGCCGCTCATATCCTCACACAAAATATGTCGTCTAACAGACTTTCAGGGAGAAAAAAAAACATTGGTGTAACTAATAACTTGCATTTACATAATGATGGGTGCAATTTTTCTTATTATATATAATATTTTCTTCTTCTCATATCTAAAACCCAACATCCTGGGCAATTTTCTTTAAATTTTATTTTTTAATTAAAAAATGCAACAAAAGTGATTTTATAGTATCATTTAAAATTAACTGATTTTAAAACAGTAAGTCATAATTTATCTAGAGAGGTCTATGGGCCTTATAGATATATAACCAGAGTACTAGTATCATAAAACAACTTTCCAACAATTGAATTTGGTTCATGTTTTAAAGAGGCATGGACACAGTTTCTGCTAAAAAATTTTCAAATTTTATTTTTCATGTTTACAAAAACTTTATTAAGGTATTTCTAATGATCATCAAAAATTTATTTTTCAGTTGTTGAGATACATGACTGAGCTCCCATACTTTGTTATGTAAACAAGGTCCGTGTCATGCTTTTGTTTACAAAGATTTAATGTACTAAAATATGCTTGTTTTAAATAAAGAAGTTAATCCTTAATATGATTAGACAGTTTCCAATGATTTGCTGAATCTCCTTTAGTTTTGTCATAATAATGTACATGTACATAATAATTTCTAATATCTAAACTAAACAAAAACAAGGCACAAGTTTTGTTTACATTATGAAGAATTTTTAAGTTCTGTATCTCCTTTTTAAATCAAGAAAATATCTAATGTTTAAATTTTTGCTGATCATTAGAATTGCTTTACACTTGGAGAGGCAGGGCAGAAGAACCAAGAAATCAAAGTGTGCTACACGTGAACCATCAGATCTTCATTTTTCCCATGATAAATTTCTTCTATATAAATCGAGAACAGGTGTCAAGTCCCAGCCAGTATGTGTTACACATGTCAAAATAACCCGATTTTTTAAACATATTAAAACTGACAAAACTAAAGATCGCTAATCTGAGATGAAATGTCACATTTGTGCTTGGAGACAACGATCAGTTACTAGTATAAGAGGCAGATAATTTTAGAATAAGTGAACAAACCTTACATGAATATTTCTTACACCTAGAAATTTTCTTAATTGAAAACACGCATAAGGTCTACGTATTGCAGTCCTTTTTTAAAGGACAGCAACTTGTTTAATGACATATTCTAGGCATGTAGTATAGGGGGTGGGTGTGTGGGGGGGGGGGGGGGGGGGACCTAGTCCCAACCAAACCCAAAACACTAACTTTACCCTAAAAAAAGTAGTTTAAGTTTTAATAAAATATAAAAGTATTTATTATATATCAATTTATTCTCTTTATTTCAAGTCTTTTTGGTCGTTCTTTATTTCCTTTTGGGTCCTTTTGGGTAAATCGTCAGGTTAAGTGTAGATTCAAGTTTGTTCAAATCATGATCCCCGGGGCTAGGGTGGGGCCAAAAAGGCCGTTTAAAGTTTTACATAGGAAAATATAGGAAAAACCTTTAAAAATCTGCTTCTTAAGAACCATTGAGACAGGAAAGATGAAACTTATGTGATATCATCCTCAATTTTCTATGACCCTTCTTTAGTCAGGGACGTAGCATCTGGGGGAGGGCAAGGGGGGGGGGGGGGCTGCCCCCCCACTTTTTTCCCCAACATAACTTTTACTATAGTAAATGTTCATAGATGGGATGGTCCCCCCACTTTATAACCATAGTATAGTGATAGCAAGGATTGTAAGGGAAAAATTTGAGGTGATAGTAAGTTGGCCACTACCCCCCCCCCCCCCCCCCCGTTTTTTTTTTTTTTTTTTTGCTTGTCAATTTTTCCAGGTAAGTGAAAAAAAAATTCTCAGATGCCCCCCCCCCCCACTTTCAAAAACGATGCTACGTGCCTGTTAGTTACAAGTATTTCCCACCGTCCAGGACATATGAGTAGGCCCTATTCCAGTTTATATTTTAACCCTGTTGTCAACTGTTAAACTATGTTTAAACATAGGTCTACAGCTTTTATAGGCCTATGGTTTAAATAGTTTTTGTGAATCTGGTGTACCATTATATCATAGTTTTGCAGAGACTGAATCTTTCGTATCTTTTATCAAAATATTTATCTATTTGAAAAAAAAAAGTATCTAGTTGAAGATATTCCTTGACATTTTACTTACAATATCTTCATGTAGAATCATTTTAAACCTTTGGAAAAAATAAAAGTCTTGATGCTTGTTTTCTGATGATAATTCCGAATATCTGTCTTCTGCTTCATACCCGAACAAAACTTCTGAGTAATCGTTCTTCAGCAGCAAGGACGTGGGAGCCTTGTTAGAAACAAGAGATCCCCCTGACCACACATTTGTTAATACTTTTGTCCAGTCATGTTTTAAAGAAAAGGCGTATCCAGAATAAGTGGTCCCAAAGTCAATCGCGGCAACAAAAAGCTTCCCACTTTTACTGGGAATTTTTTTAACACTAGCATCCATTTCTAACTCAAAGTAGCAAAGTCCTGTGAATGGATAAAATAAAATGTTTCTACTTTCGTTTTATCTGTCAATTTATTGTATACATGTTAAATGCACAATCTACAGATATAACGTTACATTAACAAAATATAGTAAAAATCTTCCACAAAACAATACAGTAATTTTCTAGTAGACATCAACTTGGGCTTCACGTTTCATAATTATTAAACATATACTTACCGGACAATAATTTCTGTCATGTCCACACGCAGTTGCCTGTAAAGAGTTACTTGCTCTTTAATATCTTGTTCTGGGGTGGATCCAATGATTTCCAAAAAATGGGGAAAACATCGACCTTTGTTAGAATAGGTCTAAGATCTGGCCCCAAAACCATAAACTGAGAATAGACTTTAATATTTTTAGTTCTATTCGATGCATTAGCTTAAAAATTGGCAACTGTGCAAAATACTTTAATTCAAACATATGTTGAAAATTTTATTTAATTATCGAAATCCTTTCGAAAGTTGTGTCGATTTAAATTTTTGACTAAAGTCTGTTCTCAGTTTATGGTTTTGGAGCCAGTTTGTGTTCAGGTCCAGGGCACCTAACGTTACTTATTTTTCTAATATTATTAGGTAAGTATGTATTTTTTATTCAAAGAAAAATAAGTAGCGTCGGATGCCTGTGGTCCAAGGGGTGGGGGTTAAAGGAGCAACATCTGAAAAAAAGTAGACTAGCCCCCCCCCCCCCCCCCCCCTCTTACAAAAAACAAACAAAACAAAATAGTTAAACTGTACAAAATCTATTATGTTGGATAAGGAAATTACAGATAAGATAAGATAAGATAAGATATGTTTTATTACTAATTCAGTGCCCAAATGAGCATAAAGAGTACAAACTTACAAGAGAAAGGCCTAATATATAGTTGACAGAAAAAAGGAAACAAAACAAAACATTTAGACATACATGATTAACCTATACAAACATGTACATAAAATAGACATATGACTTTTCAATGTATACATATATATCATATTGTGGTATGAGGCATTAGTATTTAGGCCTAATGGCAATTAATTAATGTACATGCATTTTTGAGTTTATGATGTTTATAAGACAGATAGATAAAAAAAAAATAAAAAATGCAAAGTACATTAGTAGTAGAGACTGAAGTACACATGAATTGAATAATTATGTATATCCTAACATTTTTACTTTTATCATTTTTTAATGAGATTTTTTCTCTTCATAAAAGATTTGGTTAAAAAGTCACATAGTTTAAATAATATACTGTGATCTTCATTTGCCATAATCCATAAAAATTTTTGATTGTTGGACAGAGTGTTGAAATTTTTATAATTGTCACTTAAAAAGTTAAATAAAACTTTCCTTTCTTCATTATATAAAGAACAATTTGTAAGGAAATGAATTTCATCTTCAATACAATTTGAATTACAAAGAGTACATGTCCGTTGACTTCTTTCTAGAGGGATCTTTTTCCCATTAATATCTTTTGTATATTCATATCTACCACGTTCAATTCTTAGTTCATGTGCACTTATTCTGAATTTACACAGTATTTTCCTCTGTTCAAAAGACTTTAAAGATAATAAATATTTCTCAATGGCAAAAGTATTCTTCAACAAAAAATATTTATCAAGTTTGCCATGTATTTGACCCTCATCATGTATTTTAAGCCAATATTGGTAAAAATGCTTTTTGATAAGTTTTTTCAGTAGTCCTTTAAATGTGGTCATATTTAACTGTTTACAAATGGGTAAATTAAGGTCTAGTTTGTTACATAAAAATTTGACAGTGTCATACCAGTTATTGATGTCAGACTGACTAAGATTTTTGCACTCTTTATATGCACAATATAGTAAAGATGATTCCGACATATTTTCTAATCTATGCCAATAAGATAGTAAACTAATAATGATTGAACAAAACATGGGTAATCTGCCAAGTTCAGATAGAATAGCAATATTTGTACTCTTTTTACCAACACCAAGAATAAATTTACAAAATTTGATATTCAATTTCTCTGCATCCCAATCTTTGTATATAGTGTAAATGTCTTTGTTTTTTTCAATGTTACATTTAGATAACATGCCCCAAACTTCACAGCTGTATAATGATATTGGTTTGATTAGATGGTCAAAGAGGTGTAGCTGAGTTTTTATAGATGGTTCTGATGATTTCAAATCTTTGTGCACTTTGAAGGAGGCTTTCAAAGCTTTTTTAAATAATGTTTCTTTTGCTTCTTTAAAGGAGCCGGATGAACATAGTACTATTCCCAGATATTTATAACTTTTGACACATTCAATTTCTCTATTTCCAAGAAAAAAAGGTTCCTGAATTAGACGGCCACTTTTGTTAAAAATTATTATTTTTGTTTTGTTACAATTTACTTCTAGACACCACTTTTTACAGTATTTATTCAATATATTTAGTTTGTTCTGCAAATCAATTTGGTTGTCAGATATTAAAGCAAGGTCATCTGCATACAGAAGAGCTGAAATTTTCTTTCCTGATTAGGAAACATTATTGGTACATGAGTTATCTTCTTCAAGTAGGGTAGAAAGATCATTTAGGAATATTTTGAATATATTTGGACTTAACACGTCCCCTTGACGTACGCCAATTTCTGGAGAGTAAGGACTTGTAAGTTTATTGTCTATCTTAATTCGGATGTTACAGTGTCTATACATGTTACATAATATATTATAAAAAAGACCATTGATGTTTAATTGAAGAAGTTTTAGTTTTATACCTTCGTGGATAACTGTATCGAAAGCTTTATGAAAGTCCACAAAACAGACATATAATTGTCTGTTCTTTGAGTTAATGTATTTGTCTATGAGGCACTTCAGAACGAATAGATGATCTGATGTTCTTGATGATTTTGAGAATCCGATTTGGCTTTCGTGAATGATATTATTTTCAATCAGAAAAGTATCAAGCCTATTATTTAAGATAGTATTAAAAAGTTTCCCAATGCTATTTGTTATTGTTATTCCTCTATAATTTTGTGGGATCCTTGGATTTTCAGATTTAAATATTGGTGTTGTATATCCTTCTAGCCATTTCTCTGGGTATATACCAGTATTAAATATTGTGTTAAATAACTTCAGTAGGCAGCTGTTAAGGTATGCATGTGATGCTTTCAACATTTCGTTTGTAATATTGTCTAACCCTGGGCTTTTTTGAGACTTCAAGGATTTCATACCTTTATGAATTTCAGCAGATGATATTTTAAAATCTAGTTGGGTGAAAGAAGTATGTAGTTGATTGTTTTTTAATTTCAGGATATTATTTTCAATAGTTGCAATGTTATTTTTAAATTTTTCTGGTATCTTTGTTAAGGAGTGGAAATAATCTAGCCAAGTGTCACCATCAATGGATTTTTCAGTTCTGTCTTTCTTGTCCTCCAGTTCGCGAAGGGAATTCACTAACTTCCAATACTCTTTAGGGTTATTTTCGTTAAGCTGGTCTAACCTGTCAAGTATGATTCGCTTGAATTCTCTTTTTTTGTATTTTCTTAGCTTAGCATATTCTTTATTGAATTTATAATAGGAGCCTCTAATAAGTGGATTTTGAGGATATCTTGAAAGGAGTAATGCTTTTTCATTTAATATTTTTCTTTTCTTTTTGAGATCATGGTCAAACCACTTTTTATTTGCTGTTTTGTTTCTTTTATGTGATTTTTTGTGTGTAAGGGATAATTTTGCGACTGAATCAATGATATTATGAATAAAATTTGTGGCATCATTTATGCTTTTTACATTTTGTTCAATAGGTTTCTCCAAAAATTGTTTTATATTTTTTTGAATTGTAGGATGAGAAAAAGATTTTTGAAAATTTTCTTCTGAAAAATTGTCCCACTTGTATCTACTAGGCATTTGTATCATATTCTCACAAACATTCTCACGTTCAAAAGAGGATCATAATTTCATAGATAACCTACAATGACAATCTGAGAGTGGCACAAAATCTGCTACATGAACATATAAAATATCTTCTAAAAGTTCCTCTGAAACAATAAAATAATCTACAACACTAGATCCTGCATAATTATGACATGTATAGTTTCCTCTACAATCACCAAATGTTCTGCCATTAGCTATTCTTAGTTTATTTGTAACACATATTTCTAATAAATCTTTGCCTCTACAGTCTAGTGTTTTGTCTCTACTGTGTCTTACACCAATGTCTACATCAATATTATACATGTCATCGTCTATAGGAATGTAAGAGGTTGAATCTCCCCTAATGTAATCAAGTTCAGTACCTGTTCTTGCATTAAAGTCACCTGTTAATATAATATTCCCAAGCTTACTATATTTATTAATGATGTCATTCTCTATCTCTTCTAATACGTCTATATTTTGTGTTCTGTTAAAAGATGATGTTTCTGGGGATATATATGCTAAACATAGATAAACATCTTTCTTAAATTTAAAAAACTCTTTTTTGAGCCTAAGCCATTGAAATTCTGTGGATGTATTTTGTAATATCGCAAGACCTTTTCTTATATTTTTCTTAATTAGAATGCCTAGACCACCATAGTATCTATTGTTGGAAGATTTTTTCCTACTTATGGGATAGTACAAAAAACCATCAATGTCAATGTATGTTTCATAGCCAATATGTGTTTCAGTAAGTAGAACTAAATCATGGTCCTTCACATTTTTGATGAATAGATTATCAAATGATTTATTAAAACCATCGGAGATCATACCCCCTACATTCCACGTACATATATTGAGATAACTTTCAACTGCCTGTGTAAAAGGCATAATAAAGGATAGCGTGTATGACTGAAAAAAAAAATAATAATAATAAAGTAAAATTATAATAATAGAAAAGTAACAATACGATTGACTAGAAAATATATCCCTGAATTAGGGAAAAAGGATAAATGCAAAAAGTTAGTCGTTTCTGCAAGAGGCGGAGGTTCGATCCTTAGTAATAGCCCCTCCATGGATAGTAGAGGTAGTCACGCTGGTGGTATCTTCTGTTTCCGGAGTTCATGTCAAATAGTTTGTCCACTGATCTTTTCAGGTTTGATGCAAGAATAGCTGCCCCATCCCTTGTCAAATGTACACCGTCTTTTTCTATTAATCCGCGTTTAGGATTTCCATAGTATGCAAGGTTATTATTCTCGGATATGTATACTTTTTCTTTTCCTCGTAATGTTTGTTTCAGCATGGCATTTACTATTTCCTGTTTGATGTTCCATTCTTCACGATCGCTTCTAGGTGTGGCCAGGGAAATAATGATTTTGGTGTCCGGAATTTTGTTTTTAGTTTTCTCGATCAAATCTAGCATTTTGGCAGTACACTCATTTGGAGTCATGTGTTTGATGTCGTTTGTAAGAGAGTGGAATATCATGACATCTGGTTCTTCTTTCACCGTTCCAATGTAGTTGATAGCGTCGTCAATGGTATATGCAGTTATTTTCTTTGTAGAATACTTAGACCATCTTTGAAGTTCAATGTGTTTAGTATTAGATGTTCCAATCAAGACAAGAGAAGTTTTGTCAGTTTTTCTTTTTGGTCTTTGTTCATTAGCTTGGTTCCCTCTTTTTGGGCTGGTTCCTTCTTTATCTATAGGACTGCCTGCCTGGTTTCCTTTGTTAGGACTGACTCCTCCTTTTTCAATAAAAGTACCTGCCTGTGTATCCGCTAAACTCCCCATATGTAACTTCATCTTGTAAATATCATCCTCTTTCTGGTCAAGCATTTTCCTGAGGTGGTTAAGAGATGCTTCGAGTTCTTCAATTTGTTTGTTTTTGGTTTCTAGCTTCAATGTTAGATATTGATCTTCTTTTAGATGACTTTCATTCGAGATCTTCAAGTTAGATCTGGTGTTTTCATGTGATTGTTTCTCACCTTTGTATTTGTCTTCAAGGAGAGCGTTTTGAAATTGAAGATTAGAGACTTGGTTTGTAAGGTCAGCATTTGTTTTTTGGAGTTTGTTGACTGTTTCTTCAAGACGCTTCATTTCTTTCTCCATTTTTTGCTGGTCTGTTGTTTTCTGTTTTTCGTTTTTTTCATGGAGCACAATTGATTGCTTAAGTTCGTCCGTTTTTGTTTTTAGGAAATGTTCTTGTTTGTCACAAGTTGTGTTTAGCCGTTGTTCGATCTCGTGGAATTTGGTTGAAATCATGTTGGTCAACTGTTTGTAGATTTTGTCTGTAGCCTGTACAAGTGTAGATTCCATTAATTCCAGCTCGGGTTTTCCCTGTTCGGGTTGTGCCATTGATGCATGCCTTGGTTCGTTGTTATTTTTGTCAGTGTTTGTGTCATGTAAGTTCATCTCTTCACGTTCATGTGTATCCTTTTCGGAGTTAACAATTTTGTTTTCTGGGTTATCAGTGTTGTTGTCGGTAGAGCTTGTTTCGTCAATATGGGTGTCTAAGTCATTGTGCAATGTTTTGGGTTGAGTATTGTCGCTGCTGTCTGACCTTTTGGACATGACAATGTGTTCAAGCTGTTGGAAATATTTATCATAAAAAGATGAGCATGTTGCTCCTTGAATGTTTACCTTCCCTGTAGTGAAGAAGTTGAATTTTACAGAATTGTTTTCTTCATACATGACCTTGATAACACAATTGCTTTTGTTCGGGTTTGATACGCATGTGTTTTCAAAAAAGTCTTGTAACACAGTTTTCCACAGTTCGATGTTCTTTGTTTTGAAAGTAATATTATTTATTTTGCCATCACATTGTTGGTGTAAAGTGGCATCATTATCACAAGCAATATCAAGTTCATTTCCAGTTATACACTCTTCATACATTTTGTTTGGTTGCTTGACTCCGGTCGAAGCACGTGTTTGGTACACGGACGCCATTTTGTTTTAGAATTATTGACTTTTAAATGAAATACCTGGATTGCATAGTGTTGATCCTAAAAACTGCTAGATTTTTGTAATAAGCAATATGTTCTTTAGTCTTGTGCCAGCTATGAAACTGATAGTAATTAATTACCAGTGTGAATCTACCATCCAAGTGAGCCGCTTAGAAGTACGTTGTTATATTTATCATCGGGTTCGGGATATTACATTATTACATTATTACATTTCTGAAAACTTGAATACTGGAATGTCCGAGTGTTTAACTGTACAGCTCCAAAACTCAATTCAATTTCTTTTCTGAGAAGGAGGGTGAGGTAAGTACCATTTAAATCGAACCTCATCAATATGAACAGTCTCTTCCTTACTAAAGGTGCAGGGACCGGGACGCGACACCCCACTCTCATGTTCCGTACCCCAAGGATTCTTTGACCTTTTTTTCAATAATTTTTTTTTCACTAAATATAACAACTGAAAAATCCAAAAATTGAATTATTTTATAAAGATTCACGGAGTTCTGTCTTAGTATCATGCAGAGAGTTAGCTGCAGATCTGTAGTATCCGAAAAAAAAATAATATTGATAGACCGGAGAGCTACAGTGCCACCCACTGAAAAAACCTTATATTTATTGCGCACAAAAAAGTGCGCTCGGTTCTGGATTAATTCTTCCAAATTCTTACTTCAATTTATCTTGCAAATCAAAATGGCAGTATAGATACTAGTAGGAGACATTTTCGATGATCTCAATTTCAGGGCCAGGAGGGCTATTAAAAAAAATCACAAGGAATGTTTTGTTGTGGAAACAGTTAAGAATTTGTTAGGAACACACGGTTAGTAATATCTTGAGATGGCAGTTTTAGAAACATGGAGAAATAAATTGGGAAACAACGCACTTTTTTGTGCGCAATAAATATACAGATTTTTTTCAGTGGGTGGCACTGTATCTCTCCGGTCTATCAATATGATATTTTTTTTTCGGAAAGCTACAGTTCTGCAGCTAGCAGAGAGTATGATTATTTTTTAAAAGGCTGGTTTTAGCTTAAAATTGAGTTGGAGGAGGGAGTCCCATCTCCAAGCACCTTGTGCCTTTTGGTTCCAAGATTAAAATAACTGGTGTTCCCTGATATTTCATAAAGGAAAAAAAATCAATCAATAGTGACGTTAAACTGACGTTTTGCTTTTAATAGTTTACCTCAACCTTCTTCAATTTATTGAAAAAAGGATCAAAGTTTTGGAAATATCACATTAAATAAAACTACTATGTACTTTCAGTATATATTATAAAGAAGAAATAATTTTTAAAAACTTTTTATTGCATGCTTAACATTTATTAAAGTTATAAGGGATATTCAGTAACTACAAAGAAATGCATTATAAGTAAAATACACTACTGTATAAATAGATTGGGGAAAACATAAAACACTTGTCAATTCTTACTTTTAGCCAATGAATCCTCCTTTGCATGGATACAAGAATGTCTATTAGTCAACATATGCACCTCTTGCAGATTTATCTCTCAACCAATTACGAATAATTTTATTACAATTAACATACCATAATTATAAATAAATGAACATGTAATTTACAACATTAATAATAACATAATTCAATCAGGTAACAAAATTGGTTTAATCTCTAAATACAGTGCATAGTATAAAATAGATATGAGTGCTTGCTGGTAAAATTTGAAATCAATTCCATTTTCACATAATATAACAGTTATATGTGTAGTGATTTCTTAAAACTATAAAGATTTATTCATTAAGAAGGTTCTACTCTTTTAACAAATCAAATATGACCTCCTGTACAGTACCAGTATAGAGATCCTTAGCTCTCACTCTTAACTCAGTCTCTCCAAATATCATAGTCTCCTCAATTTCTACATGCATGTCTGAGTACGATGTATCTCTCTTTGATATGGGGACCTTGAGGATTCCAAGTCTTCTACAGTCCTTGTCATCTACAAACTTAGGGTCGGGGTTATCTGAGATAAACACGGCACACTCAAGTCCCTCATCACCAGCACCCAGGGCCTGGAATATCTGCGACTTCGAGAAACCTGGGGTGATCCGCTCTCCCTTTTTAACATACTTGAAGAAAACATCTTTGCATCGAGGTTTTCCATTGATAACAATTCTCTTGTTTTGGGGATGTATTTTATCATTGAATTCTGGCCAAGTCTGGATTCCATAAGTGTACCTTGCTGATCGGCGGGAGATTGCCTGAGGTACGTGACCAAAATATACTGCCCCCTTCACCACGGCTAACCCTGCTTCCTCTGGGATTATCACTCGTTTATCTTTAAAATGGTCTTTAATTGCTTTTTGTACAAGTTCACATTCTGAAAAGCCTCCAACCATTAAAATAATACCTACATCTCGGACCAGTTTTTCGTGAAATAATTCATCTATGTGTTTGATAATACTGTCAATTGTTTTTTTGAAAAATTCCCTGAAGTGTTCATTTTTCCACTTGAGTTTTCCTGCTGCACATGACACCCTCCCTTTACTTATTGAATTGTTGTCTATTATGTCCTTGAAGTCCTTCACCTTATGACACTTCTTACTATGGTTAAAGTACGACTGCGGAATTGTCATGGTTGTGTTACCTTCTTTCTCAGGTAAAATAGTTCTTTTCTTAGTTTCAAAACTTCTGAGAATTTCCACATAATCTTCCATGCTTTCTTCCTTTAAATTGTTCATGGCCTTTTCACCTGCCAGGTCGGTGAGAAATTTCATGAAGGCGTCGTCCACTGACTTTCCCCCCCAGGGACCCCCACTAGCCGGCATTAGTTCTTCTAGGGTATTATCCTCTGCTTTCTGATGGATAGTTATATCTGCTGTTCCTCCTAGAAATAAAATAAAGGTCACAGAATTACACTGATGGATAGTTATATCTGCTGTTCCTCCTAGAAATAAAATAAAGGTCACAGAATTACACTGATGGATAGTTATATCTGCTGTTCCTCCTAGACATAAAATAAAGGTCACAGAATTATACTGATGGATAGTTATATCTGCTGTTCCTCCTAGACATAAAATAAAGGTCACAGAATTACACTGATGGATAGTTATATCTGCTGTTCCTCCTAGACATAAAATAAAGGTCACAGAATTATACTGATAGATAGTTATGTCTGCTGTTCCTCCTAAACATAAAATAAAGGTCACAGAATTATACTGATGGATAGTTATATCTGCTGTTCCTCCTAGACATAAAATAAAGGTCACAGAATTATACTGATGGATAGTTATATCTGCTGTTCCTCCTAGACATAAAATAAAGGTCACAGAATTACACTTGGAACTGAACATTTTCCGCAGAGACTCCAGTCTGATGTCCATTTCCCAAGAAAAGATACAGGTGCTCTTTACTTAATGACAGATATTGACAAAGACTTAGATATGCATAGAAATGTGATATTCCAAATATCACAAAATCAAAGGTATCCATAAATGCACCTTATCCTTAAACTTGCATGCCCTTTATGATAAGATGGGAACAAACTTATCATACTTATCCATATTTATTTATATTTCCAGATTTACACACCTCCTAGATCCACCACCATGTATTTTGTTCCAGGTTTGACAACTCCTAGTGTTGTGGCAGATAAATCTTGCTTTTCAAAAGGAAGATGTTGACAATATATTGAAGCAGCTTCTGGCTCTAGGGCCATTATCAAATGTTCTGCCTTGATTCCAGCCTATAATATTAAAAAAAAAAAATTCGCAACCACCAGGCATATTATTTAACATTATACCTTTAAGAAAAAAGGCATTTACTTCATTCTTAGGAGAAAAAAAAACACCAAAATTTATGAATCATTAAAATTGTTAATGTATCTGAAAGAAATATTTCATTAAATATTTCGAAATTTTGCTTTGAGATAAATCTATTTGTGATAACTTGTAAAAAAAGACTAATTTGATTCCAATCCATACCTTTACTGCAGCCTCCCTCATGAACATCTTGGCCTTGTCCCCCCAGATTGCGGGTACCGTCAATACGAACTCGATATCGGAATCTGTGGTGCCCAGCGTACTCTTGTTAATCTCGTCCATCAGGTGCTTCTTTAAATATCTGATGCAGTGAGCAAACACTTGACTAGCTTCTAATTCCTTCCCACTCACATCCTGACATTTTACTCCTCTATTCAATTCCTAAAAAGATATTTGCATTTCAACTTAAATATGTATGGTTTTTGTTTTAAACATATCCAAACCAAAAATGAAAAGCTCTATAAAGATTTCATTTAATTCATTGCAGTAATATCTGTTAATTTCAAAGTAAAAATTGGAAATAATCCAGATTAGCAATGATATTTTGGTGGTATGAGTACAAATGTACCTGGTCCTGATGCAGAATCATTTTGAACCTCTGGAACAAGTAGTGGTCTTCATGTTCCCCATCCTCTGTCAGACCAGCGTACTTATCCTCGGCATCATACCCAAAGGCCACAAACTCCGCTTTACTGTTCAGTAGAAGCACAGTGGGAGCTTTGTGAGAAATCAGTGAGCCGCCTTGCCAGTTATTTGTCAGGACCTTACCCCAGTTGTCTCGAAAAGAAAAGGCGTACCCAGAGAAAGTGGTGCCAAAGTCTATGGCAGCCACTATCAGCTGTTTACATTTGCTAGTGATTGATTTCTCCATGCTGGTGGTCATGGATTATGGATTCCTGCCATTATTGTCATCTATTAAAATCATGAATAAGAATTAAATATTATACTACTGAACATAATCCATTGATCAATATACATATTAAAATTGCATGTGTTGTTTGTTGTAGACATAGTCAAGGACTGAAAATAACACCCCCATTCTTTTCTTCACCCTCTACCACTGTCTACTAGAACTTTTTGCATGCTGAAGCTGAGCCAAATTCTCAAAAAAGAAAAAAGAAAAACAAACGCAATTGTTGAATATCCTCATTTTCAATCAACGAATTGAATTTGCAAATAACATGTTTTTTTTTCGTATAATTAACAAGATTGAACCCTATCCTCTATATCTTTTCGATCATGATGTATTTTTGATCTATTTTTCTAAACATGCTTCCTTTGCAGATACCGCTTACTAAGCTCTCATTTTTGGCTGATACAAGGTAAATATTAAAAAAAAAAACCACAGAAGATCAAATACAATACACACTTAGATCATCAGGATATTTTAGTTTCATTTTGTTTTTAAAAAAACTCATCGTATAACTTCAGTCTTGTAAGTTAGGTAATATGTAAATATATAATGTACATGTACATTGTTTGCTTAAAAACTCATACATAATGAATCCACCAAACATTTTACCTACCACAAAATTCTTTTCAGTCTATGGACAAAATGATATCCATGGTTTTCTAATCTACTTTCGATTTCAATAGCGGAGCATGGGAACATGCGACACGCAATTTGGGGAAATGGGCATGTTGCGTCGCCAGTTAGAGCGCGGCGCCAATGGAACAAGTACTTGAGGTCAGAGCAAGCAAGCATGAAGGTTTTTATTTAAAACCATGCTGTAAATGGGATATATATTCATATTTTGAATTTTCAATTCTCTCTCTTAGTTCTACAGAACAATAGTCAAGTTCAAAGTCCATTTTAAATAGTGTGTAAACAATTAGGCCGGTGTCGCATAATATTTGGTCCGCCTCGTTTAAAGGTCCGGCCGGACCTAATACGATAACATATTTGGTCCGCCTTTCATAAGAAAAGGTCCGGCCCGTATAAGAAAAGGTCCCCCTGCGTTTTAAGGTCCGGGTGGTGCAAAATGTTTTAATTTTGACTTTAACATATGAAATTAAGGCTACCGGGTAGTTTGTTTATACTATATGATTAAAGAAGGATTAACCCTGTTGTGTTTTATTTTTTGTACAACATACATGTATCTCTAGATAGACAAGAATCTACTCGTATAGTGTGCTTTGAGCAGTGCCGTCAAGGGTCATGATTTCTTTAAAAATCATGCCACAATTATTTTGCAAGTGTTTGTTTTTTCTTAGAATTTGCTTTTTGTAAATTAGTACGATTAAAGGTGTGAAATCTGTCGGTGTGTATAGCTAATAAAACAATGGGTGTGTGACGTATTTGTTTACCTGACAGGTACCCACAGGTAGAGCCCGCGGCAGATGGCGCTGTCATTGAATGATCGGTGAACCTAATGGTCATGTGTTAGCTTTACATATCAACAGATCTTATTTTCTTAATTTAAAAAAAATTATACCAAGGAACCAAATATTCAGGCGTATACTTCAAAACTGCGACGTTTATAATAATTATAACCATACATGTATAACCTTTATAAAGCTAAATATGGCGTATCTGAGCTAAAAATTAAAAATACAAGATTAAGCGTAGATTTACATGAGATTTGGTTTTTATGTTCAAATTAAAATTTTCACCGATATTGAACTTAAATATCCCCACGTTTCTATTAGTTAAATTCAAACTAATTGAATTAAAACTGTGTCTGATATTAATTTAAATTCCTAGTCGATAAGAATCGGCCATTGTTTTAAATCTCGGATATCTATGAAACGCGATTGATTTAAATTGTTTGATTTTCATTAAATGTTTCAGTCTGCATTCCATTTCGAATTTTTCTTTTGTTGTTATTGAAATTTTAAACTTTTTATTTCCGGCATTTTAAGCTTTCATTTCCGACATTCTAAAGTGTTCATCTCCTACATTTTTCAGGAAGTGCTTTCCGGTAATGAAAAATTTTAAAGAATAAATCATAGACTGTTGAGTAAATCAATGTTCGGCGCAGTCTTTGACATTTAATTTAGTGAACATTAAATACGATAAAAAAAAAAATTGCATGTTCAATAAACTCTGTCAACTAGACTTAGTGCTTCATGTACAGATGTACATGTATATACATGTATACAGAACTTTTATATTAAAAATGTTGTGTATAATAAATTCTTTCAAAATTCCATTTCTACATACATGTACCTGGTAAACATTAAATTGCCGGAGAGGTACGTTGCAAAAATTCCAGAAATGAAAAGAAATAAATGTCGGAAAAGAAAAGACGAATTGTCGGAAATGAAATAAAGAAAAGGCGGAAATACCGTGCCGATTTCCGGAAATGAAATGCAGCAGTCCTATCTTTACAGTGTTATATAAAGTACCAAAACAAATAGAAAGATCTTTTTCATATTTTTAGTCTAAACTTATAAATAAAAAAAAGCCTTATATGACTTTAAAAGTTTTTAAACGCAGTATAATATAATTAAGGTCTGCCCTCTGTATTTCAGATATTTTTATGTTATAAAGGGACATTTTTGGACAGATTTATTTTCGTAGCTTAAAAAACTAGAGAAAGAGACAGGGCGGACCTTAAAACGCAGTTATCAGAAAAGGTCCGCCCTCTGTATTTCAGATATTTTTAGTTACAAAAGGGAAATTTTTGGACAGGGTTTATTTTCGTAGCTTAAAAAAACTAGAGAAAGAGACAGGGCGGACCTTAAAACGCAGTTATCAGAAAAGGTCCGCCCTCTGTATTTCAGATATATTCATGTCATAAAGGGAAATTTTTGGACAGGGTTTATTTTTGTAGCTTGAAAACTAGAAAAATAGACAGGGCGGACCGTAAAACGCAGTTATCAGAAAAGGTCCGTCCTCGGTAATGACTGTAGCGGTAATGAAAATTTTGAAAATGTAGCGGTAATGATACGCACCCCATGCATTTACCTTGTCCCGGAGTAATTATTATTTAGTAGGCCGCATTTCATTTCCGGAACTTTCTGAACTATAATTTCCGACATTTTAAAGTTTTTATATTTTAAAAGTTTTCATCTCCGACATTTGTCATTCATGTCAGTACTTTTTCGTCAATGAAAAAAGAATTCATACATCCGTTTTAAAAATCCTCTTAGCTGTCAAAGAAACTTAATTTATTTTACCCTGGGTCAGATGTAGGTACATGTATTGTGAATGTGAAGTTTCACTTAACTGTTTCCTTTACTTTTTAACTAGTCTTAATATTGTTTACAGAGTGTATGTAATGATTAGTTTAACCTCCTTTTAAAGACTTGTTGATTTTCATGCCAATAAGCTACCATACATTGGTATAAGTGTTTGAACAAGATGCCTTGTTACTTTTAAAAATAATACATGTACTATTAAAGATTAACTTGTCTTTATTAGAGGATGGGGAGTAACTTTAGTTACAGAAATGGTTTTGCTATTAATAGCCCTTTTATACTCTCAGAAAAATACTTTAAAATTTATTGAAAATAATAGAACAGAGGAAAAGTCTTACTTTTTTTTGCATATCATTCTAAGGTTATGGTGATCAAAACAACCTTACCTTTGTGACTCTGTAGAATCTTTTTTCATTTAATTCTCACATCTTTCTTATGAAGCATAAATGAACATAATTTGAAAAAGTTGTGAACAAAGTATCAAACATTAAATTTTTATTGAAAATCGTCAAAATCAACTCCTATCGGTACTTTAAGTACTTTGATTAGTATAGGAATATCGAGTGAAATATCGAGCCCGATGCTGACAAATATTGTATAAGCGATAAATTTTATATACAAAATCTGTTGCGCGAGCGCGCCGACGCGCCGAATACAATTAGCCCTCGAAAAAATTAGCTGGATTTCTTTAAACTAATAGGTTATACTAAAGTGTTCGAAAGTATTTCTCATGATCTTGATTATATTACCTGGTCCATAACATATAATTAGGATGGGGATTGAATTGAATTTTCACTGCAAACTGAGGTCAAAAACATGTACTAATATATATGAATTACTGAAAAATATGATTTCCTTGAGATTTCCTTGTTACTCTTTGCCAGGAATCACCTCTTCAAAATCTATTTTAAATATGTTTAATTTTAACTGCCACCTTTAGCTTGAGAGAGAGAAAAAAATAAAAGGGAAGGGAAAAAAAGGATACGGAGAGATATATTCGGAGGAAGTGAAAACTAAGGATAGAGGAGATATGATTTATTAACGGAAGAAGAATATAAAGATAACACATCCTAGAATGAACAACATTTGTTTTACAGTGAAGGGAAGTTCAATGAACCAGATATCTGTATATCGTTTTCTAACTTCCAATCGCCACCCTTGAGATAATGAAAATTCTGAAACCTTATTGCACATCTACATGACTTTCCAAATAACGGGCTACGGCGGAAAAAAAGATAAATTAAGGAGTTCAGAAAACTTGGAAGTGTTTTTTGTCCCAACATTTGCCTCTCCGGAGTGAAAATTTAAAATACAAAACCTTAATGAATGAAATGTGTGGAGTCACAGTGGAGAAAGAACAGCATTCAAACTCAAAAGTCCATTGATCAATATAAGTTATAGGCAGAGTAAACAGGACCTCCAAAACATTAGAGGGGGATTCAAGTGCCATGGAGAAGTGAGCATCCCCAGCTGACCGGTCGTGTGCTCCTTGTCATTATCGAGAAATACTCAGTATATATATAAATATTGGCCTATAAATAAGAAAAAGTCTCTCAGCGTTAGTGCTCCTGAAGTTACCCATTCTTTTAGTAAAGACTAATTTAAATATTCAGGACACCACTAATTATATTTCAAAAGATGAGCTGGCTATTGCATAAATTGTAAGGGGGACCAAGTGTCTGTAGAAAAAAGTCGATTTTACCATCAAAGTTGTTTTTATTGCACATCTACAGGGCACTCAAAATTATACACTAAAATATGAGTTGGCCACTGCAAAATACATGTTAGGAGTAAAGGGATCCAGACTTATTATAGAAAAATGCCGTTATTTACTCCCATCTGGGCCAAAGGTGAAAATGAAAATAATTAAAAGATCTTTTTATATTTGTTCCATGATGTTCGTGGCATCCCAAGTCACGTACCAAAAGTTGGCAACTTCATGAAATGTAAGAGGAGTTTTAGGAAGAAAATAGTGGGACAGACGATCAGACGGACCAGGATAACAACAATATACAACACGTAGTACCTAAACCCGCGTGAAAAAGAATTGTCAACTTCCCTTACTTATGCAACAATATACTTTTATCACTTGTATACTTAGTTAATATATCTCAGTTGATTCGACACGGAAGAGCATGCTCTACGTTTTTTAAACAATTTCTAAAACGATGTAAGTAAATGATAAACAAGTTTATGAAACAAAAATTTCAGCTGTTTTGTTTAAAGTCATTTCCATGGTCGATACAATGACCTTTTCAGCAAATACAATTCATCATTGAGTCAAATGCTGACTAATACATACTAATTGTTTGTCCATTATTTATACACTGAAATGACAACAGATTTCCCGTCATTTCCCGATTATGACAAGGAGCATACGGCGGGTGTGACCGGTCGGCATGGGGTGCTTACTCCTCCATGGCACCTGACCCCACCTCTATTGTTTTGGATGTTCGTGTTTGCCCTGCTCCTATTTTGAATTGTATAATGGACTTTTGATCTTGAATACTATTCGTTATCTCCATATGTTTCATCTAGTCAGCATCGTCTTAAGGCATTCGGATTCCGCTCTCTTCTACCCTTGGCTGCCTGGTCACAAAAAGTGTCGTAATCTTGAATATTTCCCAGACTTGGAGAGGATCGTATGTTTTGGTCGTGGTTTGCAACGATGTCTAGGCAGATTGCAGACAAGAGTCCTACCTTAACAGAACTTAAAGTCATTTTCGTTGCTGTTTAGTGTCAGTATCAGCAATTTTGTTCACTGATGTTTCACAAGATTTGGGCAAATAGAAAAACGATAGAAATAATTTACATGATCATTTTTCAATCTAAATCTCACCCAATAACGGTAAGAAAAGTTTAATATCTAATAAAAAAAATGTAACCCTATGCAACCCCTGGGAAATTTCCAAATTTGTGACAAATGGCGAGGCATAACACTGCTCTCAGTCCCCAGAAAGGTGGTCTGTAAAACACTGCTGCATAGATTAGAATAAAGTGATTGAAAAGAAACTGCAAGAGGAACAAGTTGGTTTTAGGAGAGAAAGAGGGCGCATAGTCCAAATTTTTGCAATTCGTAACATTACAGAAAAGTGTACAGAATGAGAAATGCCACTATACATCAACCTCGTTAATTTTCAGAAAGCTTTTGAGAGTGTACACAAAAACTTTGGAAAAGGGAAGGATCATATAGAATACCAGTAAAGATCTGCAAAGCCATGAAAACATTCTACACAAACTTCGAATGAAGTATCATTCTGGAAAATGGAGTCTCAGATTCACTCTGCATAAAATCTTGAGGAAGGCAAGAGTGCATAATATAACAAATTCTCTTCCTTATAGCCATTGACTTGATCCAAAGAAACACTATACGTGACAAAAAGAGATATATCAAATGGACAATGTCCAGTCACTTAGAAGTTGACTTCGTTGACAATCTTGCAGAAGTTTCAGGAAACATCATATACCCACAAGAACAGACTAATGAATTGAACTCATCTGCCAAACAAACTGGGCTTAAATTAATGCCAAGAAGACCAAGGTAATGAAAATCAATGCAGCAGCAGAACCTTTCACATTAAATGGAGAGTTATTAGAGGAAACTAAGGACTTGACCTACCTCTGCAGTATCCTAAGTAAGGACAACGGCACTGGAAAAGACATAAAATCAAGGTACAATGAACCAACCCCCCCCCCCAAAAAAAAAAGATTGGAAGACAAACACTAAAAAACTAGATGTACTTTGAGCACTGAGCTCACTAAATTATATTCTCCCATATGATGTAACGGCTAAATCAATGTTTTGCTCTGGGAGAGCCTAAATAGGTGTAAGAGCAAAAAGTAAATTTGAGGTGTACAATGGGATTATGTAATTAATAATCTATGAAAGAAGGATATGGAGATAACGAACAGTATTCAATATCAAAGTCCATAAAACAATACAAAATAGGAGAAGAGCAAACACGGACCTCCGAAACATCAGAGGTGGGATCAGGTGCCATGGAAGAGTGAGCATCCCCTGCTGACCAGTCACACCCGTGTGCTCCTTTTCATGATTGTGAAATAACGGGAAAAATCCGTCGTCAATTCAGTGTAAAAATAATGGACTAACAATTCGTATGAAAAACATCAGTCAGCATTTGACTCAATGATAAATTGTATTTGCTAACCAGGTCATTGTATCGACCACAGAACTTAAGAAATGATGACTTAAAATGAAAGTATCATTTAATTTTTTTCAGGGCTATACAAGATGGATTTCCTTCAATATTATAGAAAAAATGGACATGTCTATGTTTAGCTATAGGAAACCCGATCAAAAAGTAAAATAGGAGGTGCACAATGACACTATGTATGGAACAAAGATTCTGTAAAAGTTTTATTAAATTTCATCGATAGGTCGGTATAAGAGGAGTTGAGGATATAAAGCGTAACAGAGGGACGGAGATCCTCATCACTAAGTACCCTCTTCTTTAAACTGCTAAAACTAGCTATGAATTACTTAAAATATAACATATTTGTCTTATTATAATAGTTCGACGACAATGTCCTGGGATAAATTGCTGATGACGTCACGAGCAACGACACGAAGCTCTGTCTCGCCGAAGTAGAACGTTTCCTCTATCTCTAGCTGAGTTGCATCCGAAACTTTTGGGAGAGAAACTCGTAGCGTACCAAGGCGACGGCAGCTGGCATCATCTACATATTCCGGATTCTTTTCTGTAGAAACGAAAATTCCGCACTCAAGTATGGCGTCCTCTGTGTGAAGAGGTCGAAAGATCTGCGATTTAGAAAAGCTGTTGGATATTTGTTCACCTTTTCGTACGAAACTGAAGAAAACATCCTTGCAGCGCTTTTCTCCTTTAATATCAACTTGTTTTTCCTTTCTGTGTGTCTTAGAATCAAATTTAGGCCAAGTTTGAATCCCGTAGGTAAACCTTGCTACTCTTCTAGATATAGCATCTGGGATGTGTCCAAAGTAAACAGCACCATACAAAATAGCAAGCCCAGACTCTTCTGGGATAATGACTCTTTTCTCTGGAAAATTATCTTTTATAGCCTTTTGAATTAGCTTACATTCAGAGAATCCACCCACCATGAGAATGTGGTTGACATCTCTGACGGCTTCCTCGTTAAATAAATCCTCAATATGTTTTACGATGCCATCGGATGTTTTCTTGAAGAACCCCCTGACAAAATCTGCGGTCATTTTTAGCTTACCTGGACCGTAATTCACATTTTCTTTGTGGGGCGATTTCTTAATTACTTGGCTAAAATCATCTAGATTATTCTCTTTTTTGCACAGGTTAATGAAGGAAAGTGGTATACGGACAAAGACATTTCCTTTCTTTTCAAGCGTTATAGCTCGTTTTGTCCTTTCAAAGGTTCTTAAAATGTCTACATAGTCCTCCATATTAGTTTCCTTCAACAGTTTCAGAACTTTTTTGCCTCCTAACTCTGAAAGGAAGTCAATAAATTTGTCGTCTACTGACTTTCCACCCCAAGGACCCCCACTGGCTGGCATGATTTCCTCCAATGTATTGTCAATGCATTTCTTGTGAACTGTTATATCTGCAGTACCACCTAACAAAATAAAGTATGAGTTTTTATGCCTTTATAACAATCAAGAATCATCATTTCTTTGTGAAGATTCCAGTAAAGACTGCATCTACAGTGTATACACACCTCCTAAATCAACAACCATGTATGTGGTTCCATTGTCGACTGACCCTAGGACACTGGCGTTAGGGTCCCTCAGATTTTCTATCTGTAAATGTTGACAATAGATAGATGCTGCCTCGGGCTCTAGAGCCATAATGAGGTGGTCTTTCTCTATTCCAGCCTGTAAGTTTAATAAAGCTGCGTCAGTTAAATGTAAAAGGCTGCATTCAATTCCAAAATATTAATAAAAATAAAAACAAAAAATTACTGATTTCTAAATACATGTACATTCAATGCATAGCAAGGTTAACCAAAATTCAATTCACCTTTACTGCAGCCTCCCTCATGAACATCTTGGCTTTGTCTCCCCAGATTGCTGGTACTGTCAACACGTACTCAATGTCTCTATCACTGGTACCCGCGAACTTTTCGTTGATTTTATCTATTAAGTGGTCCTTTAGATACCTTATACAATGCATGAAAACTTGAGTGGCCTCTAACTTCTCACCTGTAATATCCGAACATTCTATGGATTTGTTGACTTCCTGAAAATAACATTAAACTACACATAGGCAGGGAGGTAGAGAACAGGATTGTCTGTCATGTTGCAACTTTAATGAAATATCAATGCCATTAAATATATTAAATAAACGAGAGAAAGTTATATACATATAAGCAATTACATACAAAGTCTTTATGTAGGATCATTTTAAAACGCTGGAAGTAAAGGTAGTCTTTATGTTCCTTTTTTGCCGTCAACGTGGCGTACCGATCCTCAGCTGTATAACCAAAGGCCTCGAAGACTGGGTCTGATCCCCCAGCCTTCTTGAGAAGTAGGGCAGTCGGGGCCTTGTGAGAGATGAGGCCACCTCCCTGCCAATGACAAGCCATGAGTTTGCGCCAGTTCTGGGAAATGGAGAAGGCATATCCGGAGTACGTCGTTCCGAAATCAATGGCTGCCACAAACAGTTTCTTACTTTTACTCTTGATAGATTGATCCATTTAAAAAAACTGGAAAATAGTTAAAGTAGATAAATTTTTCAACTGCTATTGATTTTTAAAAGGTACAAGAAATACAAAGAACCTTTTATTGAATTTATTTTATTTTGTTGCCGCTAAGGAATATTGCTCCGTATTCAGAAGAACTGTATCCTTTTCCTATTTCTCCAGTTATCTTTTAATAATTGTAATTGTTTAAATAAAAATACACTGTATAGCATCCAACAATATATTAATTACCGTACTTCAAAGCAATTATTCAACTTACAAAAGAGAACATTTCTACTGACTAAGCAGTTAATCGGTTACAAAATACACAGCCAAATGTAATACTCTACTCGGTTACAAAATACACAGCCAAATGTAATACACTTATCGGTTACAAAATGCACAGCGAAATATAGTACGCTAATCGGTTAAAATATTCTGCCAAATGTATTACTCTAATAACATAAAGATAAAAAAGAGTATCGATGGAGTCCTGAATATGCATCCGGGAAAAAATGACTGTATAAATATTAAGTCAACACATACTTACATTATACGTTCCTTATTGAGATTTAAAGTCCATAACTCATCGATCATTAATCAACTTTCGGTTTGAAAAAGTTTGTTGTTTTCAGTGAATCTCTTTGAAACTGTAGTATTAAATCCACTTTTAGCCATAAACATATACAAGTTTTCTTTCATTTATAAAATGTACGTACTTATCATAAAGTCAAAGAACAATATGTTGAAATATGTACACTTAAAGACTGGTATTGCTAATATGAATATTGGCTTTGTACCACATTTTTTTCTGGGTCATAACCAGTTAAAGGTGGGTGTTGCTAAAACCCTGAACGGAAAACGGAACTGAAAGCGGAACGGAACGGAAAACGGAAAAATTTTGTCAAACAAATAACATAGATTCGATATAAATCAGATAAAAGAGCAATATTCTTGTTGTAAAAGGCATTTCTAATAAAAATTTATTGTAAACTATTATATATTCTGAGTCATACACACCCTCCGCGGAAAAAATGGTACTGAAAGAAATTCGACCCCCTCACACACACACACACACACCCTCACACACCCTCTCTCACACACACACACATACCCTCACACACACACACACACACACACACACACACACACACACACACACACGAAATAGGATTTTCGTGTTTAGGCAAAGGACATATCCCCCCTTTAATTTTGCTTGTCAAATTTGTTGTATGTTCGAATATTTTTACTTACCCCCACCCCCTCTTTCAATTTGTTTCCAATGTCAATGTCTGTAAAGACAAAAATAACTAGTTATGATATTCAGATTATGCACGCAGTGTCGAATTCGCCAATCATGAATGGGGGAGTGGCAGTTTCGGGTCTGTGTAGGGGCCCACAGCCACATTAAAAAATGATTTATTAAACCTTATGTATATTTTGGACACAAAAAGGGGGGCAGACCTATTACAACTTCCCAGACCTTTCCGATGAGCGGGAAAGCAAACTCATTTTTTTCGGGGTCATTCATATACCCCCCCCCCCCCCAAACATACACACACATGTACCGCAAACAAACAAACTTTAACTTCTTTGACTGCAAAGATTCTGCATTATATCTACCAAATGAAAGTTTTCCAACTTGGTCTATCCAGAATTTAAACATATCTGTAATGCTTGGGTAGGCCTTAAATATACGAGACACTCCAAACACACGTGTTTACTGGATGCTGACATTTATTAAATGTACGATGATATTAATACGCACACACAAAGCATGTGGAATAATGGCGGGAAATTAGAGATTGATAAGGTCTAACATTACACAATTAGAAATAGACTGTAGTTCCATTAAATAGTAACAATAGTGTAAATGAATAATATGCAGTTTTATTACACACTTAGTAATAAATACAGGGTTTTTGTATATGCGATATGGCTGACGTCACAATATCCGTATCAGCCCTACAGGGCTGATATGGATTTGCGGGGCTGATATAGGTTATCAGCCCTGCAGGGCTGATACGGATCAATACCACACCCCTAGTAAATTAAACCTTAAAAAACAGTACTTGTGATCATACACATATTTTGGGGGTTACATAATTCTCTTAATTTAAACTTTTTGAATGTAATGATAATCTAAGTGATAAATAATAGATTATTTTAAAATTACAGATCGGGGACATTTGAAATAGAAGTACATGCAGAAACAAACCGAAACTGTATGAGACAATAGACTGTGTACATTTTAAGAAGTCCGTGCATGATTATTTACTTATTTTTTTCTCAACTTAATGTGTTCTGTATTTTATTACTAGTATGTAATAAATATAATAAAACATACACCCTTTTCCATATCACATCCTGTATCAGCCCGAGACACCGAGAAAAGGGTATGTATTATTCTCTATATTACAAACTTTATATTCTTAATAAAATGTTAGCAACCAGTGTTTACAAAATATGTTTAATCGAGCTTGCCGTAAAGGTTTGCCCTAAAGGTAATATTAATAATTTTTTTTTTACAATTTATTTCTCTTTCCATGGTTCATCTAGATATCAAATATTTGCTCCCCCAGTCATAACCTTTTCACTACGGAAATGTTCGTTCAAGTTGACATCCTCACACTTTTTGTGAATGTAATTAATGTAGTAAGTTAGTGTAAAAAAAAGTAATGAAAGATGTTGGAGTTGGAACTTATCCCCCCTCCCGAATCAAAAAATTGTCTTCTTTTTGTTTTATCCCCCTCCCGAATCAAACAATTGTCTTCTTTTTGTGTTCTTGCTTGTGAAATACTTTTCAAGTTCGTTTACCCCCTTCCCCTCTTTTCAAATTCGAATCTAGGTGACTGCTATGTTAGCGATTTTCGTAAATAAGAGAATGAGCATGACAATATCAGCTTGTATTTAATAGTGGGGGGGGGGGGGTGAATATGTACAAGATATATCGTTTATGATAAATTTGTGTATTTTAAGTGATTTAATCCAAAATAATATATTCCGTTTTCCGTTCCGTTCCGTTTTCCGTTCCGCGTTTTAGCAACACCCGTTAAAGGTCTAGATATATATTTTACCTATTCTTATTGATAAACAAATTTAGTGCATACAGTTAAAACGAAAGTAGAAAAGGGAAGAGATCGAGAATGACACTAAAATGGATGTGAGCATTCGAAGCAAAAGCCAAAGCCTGTTTGTGGCGGCCATAGATTTCGGGACGACGTACTCTGGTTACGCATTTTCTCTCACACAAGACTGGAAGAAGCCTTACACGTACCATTGGCAGGGAGGGGGACTGGTGTCCCACAAGGCCCCCACGGCTCTACTACTTGACTCGAGTCAGAACTTTGTGGCCTTTGGTTACGATGCAGAAGACCAATATTCTCAATTAACGGCCAAGAAACAACAGGACCAGTATTACTTCTTCCTACGGTTTAAGATGATTCTTCACAAAGATCCAGTATAGTATTCCTACGTACTTTCATTTTGCTTTTTGTAACTACATGTAATAGCTGATATATTTAGAGAAACAACATATCGTTTTTATAATTTTTTTCAGGGAGTGAATAAGAATATTCTTTGCGAGGATGAATCAGGAAAATCACTACCAGCCATTAAGGTGTTTAATCATTGTATACGTTATCTGAAGGATCATTTATATAAAGAAATTAAGAAAAGTGTCCCCGGAACAGAAGAGGACGCCATAGAGTATGTTCTGACGGTACCTGCCATTTGGGGTGATCGTGCCAAACGCTTCATGAGAGAAGCAGCTACAAAGGTACATACAATATAACAATAACCTCTCTTCTTTTCCCACCTAAATTAAAAGAAAAAAAATTTCTAATAAAAAAATTATTGTTACACTGTCTATTCCATTAATTGACTGAGTTTTGTGTTGAATGTAGGCAGGGATAGAAAAGAGACTTATAATTGCACTGGAGCCTGAAGCAGCATCTATTTACTGCCAACATCTCACAAACGACGAGGAACAATTATCTGCCACTCTGGGTGTACTGAACTCTGGACAAAAGTATATGGTGGCAGATCTAGGGGGTAAAAATCTTGAATATGTTATAGCGAACATTCAGTTTCTAAGTACAACGTACTTTATGAACCTAGATTTAGTTGAATTGAATGGTTTCCTTTTTAGGAGGTACTGCTGATATTACTGTACATAAGAAATGTGAGGACCACACTTTAGAAGAAATAAGTCCAGCAAGTGGGGGGCCATGGGGAGGAAAATCAGTCGACGATCGTTTCATTCGCTTCTTAGAAGACATAAGCGGGGACGGAACAATGTCAAAATACAAAAAACAAAGTTTGGAGGATTACTTAGATGTTTTACGAACATTCGAAGTAACAAAACGTAGCGTTTCGCCCGAAAAGACGGGGAAGATCCAAGTAAGAATACCCCTGTCTTTTGTTGAATTCTGCAAAGAAAGCAGAAAAGTTAAGGACTTTCCTTCTGCTATAGAACGTTCACCTCACAAAGACAACGTGAAATATGTTACGGGAAAATTGAAGTGGGATGTCAACTTTTTTAAAAAGACATTTTTCCAAAAAACTATTGAAAGCATAGTAAAGCATGTTGACGAATTATTTGAAGAAGAAAATGTGAGAGATGTTCGTAATATTTTAATGGTTGGTGGTTTTTCCGAGTGTAAACTTGTTCAAAAGGCAATTATGGACAACTTTCCAAACAAGAAAGTTATTGTACCGACCGAAGCAGGGCTTGCCGTTGTCAAGGGAGCCGTGTACTTCGGTCACGTGCCAGATGCTATTTCTCGAAGAGTGGCAAGGTTTACATATGGCATTCAAACATGGCCAGAATTTAAACCGACCATTCATCCACAATCGAAGAAATTCGAGGTCAGCGGAATGAATCGGTGTAAGGATGTCTTTTTTCCCTTCGTTCAGAAGGGACAGCAGATCCCTCTCGGGTTTTCTAAGTCTCAGATATTTCGTCCTCTCCATGATGACGACACCAGACTTGAATGTGCTGTATATATTTCAAGTGAGAAAGATCCAAAATTCGTCGATGACCCTGGGTGTGAACTGTTGGGCACACTTCAGGTACCTGTTTCCAGAAAAACCCCGGAATCTCCCCGCTCTGAGGTTGAGGAGACACTCTTTTTTGGAGAGACAGAGTTGAGGGTGACCGCTCGTGATATAATGACAAACCAATCTAAAGACGTGACTTTTGATATATTTTGATAAACTCAAATGGGATATGTACAAGTATTTATTATTTATTCATTATCCTTTTATTTCTATAAATTTTCCTAAGTCTTCTATTTCACTAAAGATTCTTGACAATGATCACTTTGGCAGAGTTGAAAATACTGAATAGTAAATCTTATATACTAGTATTTGAATAAATGTTACAACTGTAACTGTAGCATAAAATTACTCGATTTATGCATTTTTCTCTGCAATATTGAATAATGGCATAGTTTTACGTGAAGGGACCCCGATCCTCAGGAAGGACGACTCTTTATTTCATAATTTAATTCAAAAAGTCTCAAACTGAATCTTGAAAATCAAATCTTTTCATGCAACAATTTTCATTATATATCTCTTAATGTGCTTCAAGGTTCTTTGAAGTTCTTAAAAAGGACTAATAAAAAGTCGAATGTTTAACCCCGTAAAAGCATTTTAAAATTACATATATCAAGAAACTGATGTTCATTTTAACCTAACCATAGATACCAATGTTTATTGACATGATTATGAAATTAGACGTCATTTATGGAGCTTTGCAATGACAGGAGAACCTTTAGACACTTTGCATTTTCAAATGTTCAAAGTAAATAACAGAAATTAACGTACATTATATGTATAAAAAATTGTGGAATTTCTTCAAAAGCCTGGATACCTATGATTTTTAATTATTTTTAAAATGTGTTAATTTATCAAAGAACTTTATTCGGTAATAACCAATATTTGCCCCCCCAAATCAAACTTTGATGGAGGTATATTTAATTAAGTTCTTAAACAGGGGAGTATATGCTGACTTCAAAGCACTGAATATTTTCATAAGTAATGACGTCATATGTACGTAATGACGTCACAAACATGACGTAAATTTCAGTTTTTAATGAATTATACAGAAAAATGTACATATTTCGTCGATATTTTGAGTAAAAGTCACCGAGCGCATGTGTGTTCAGGATCAATATTTTGATATAATGTTTAGAATGATAATATCAATGAAATATGTAAATATAAATCCTGAACAAACATGCGCTCTATATATTTAAAAGCTTAAATTGTTGAAATTTTGTCCATTTTGTCCTCTTTCTGAAAAAAATTCTAAAATTGGACTAGGTTTTGACGTCATAAAAACAAAAATTGTGAATAAACTGCTTTGAAACTATAATATGTTCTGTTAATTTATATTTCTCATACAATTTATTGAATTCAGCACATTTCATGAAGTTTTCAAAATGTAACTTTTGTGGGGGCAAGTATATGCAATATACCGCATATAGTTCTTTGAATGGGAAAATGTATAGTAGGTGTTTTTATTTTAGGCCATGTTTGAATTGCGTAGGTAAACCTTGCAACTCTCCTAGATATAGCATCTGGAATGTGTCCAAAGTAAACGGCACCATACAAAATAGCAAGCCCAGACTCTTCTGGAATGATGACATTTTTCTCTGGAAAATTATCTTTTATAGCCTTTTGAATTAGCTTACATTCAAAAAATCCACCCACCATGAGAATGTGGTTGACATCTCTGACGGCTTCCTCATTAAACAAATCCTCAATATGTTTTAAGATTCCATCAGAAGTTTTCTTGAAGAACCCCCTGACAAAGTCTGCAGCCATTTTTAGCTTACCTGGACCGTAACTCACATTATCTTTGTGGGCTGATTTCTTAATTACTTGGCTAAAACCATCTAGGTTATTCTCTTTTTTGCACGGGTCAATGAAGGAAAGTGGTATACGGAAAAAGATATTTCCTTTCTTTTCAAGCGTTATATCTCGTTTTGTCCTTTCGAATGTTCTTAAAATGTCTACATAATCCTTCATATTTCTTTCCTTCAGCAGTTTCAAAACTTCTTTGCCTCCTAACTCAGGAAATCAATAAATTTGTCGTCTACTGACTTTTAACCCCAAGGGCCCCCACTGGCTGGCATGATTTCCTCCAATGTATTGTCAATGCATTTCTAGTGAACTGTTATATCTGCAGTACCACCTAACAAAATAAAGTATGAATTCTTATGCCATGATGACAATCAAAAATCATCATTTTCGTTGTGAAACTTTCAGTGAAGAATGCATCTCTACACACCTCCTAAATCAACTACCATGTATGTGGTGTCAGTACCGACTGTCCTCAGGACACTGGCGTTAGGGTCCCTCAGATTTTCTATCTGTAAATGTTGACAATAGATAGATGCTGCCTCGGGCTCTAGAGCCATAATCAGGTGGTCCTTCTCTATTCCAGCCTGTAAGTATAATACTTTAATTGTAAAACACTGCATTTAGTTTCAAAAATAAAAACAAAACAATGCATCCTTTATTTCTAAATACTAGTACTTAGTACATTCAATACAGAACAAGGTGTACCAAAAATCAATTCACTTTGACTGCAGCCTCCCTCATGAACATCTTGACTTTGTCTCCCCAGATTGCTGGTACTGTCAACACGTACTCAATGTCTCTATCACTGGTAGCTGCGAACTTTTCGTTGATTTTATCTATTAAGTGGTTCTTTAGGTTCCTTATACAATGTGTGAAAACTTGAGTGGCCTCTAACTTCTCACCAGTAATATCTGAACATTCTATGGATTTGTTGACTTCCTGAAAATAACATTAAACTACACATAGGCAGGGAGGTGGAGAACAGGATTGTCTGTCATGTTGCAACATTATCGTAATATCAATGCCATTAAATATATCAAACAAGAGATGTTTGTAAAACACTTATGCCCCCCTCCCCCCAAATTGGAATTTTTCCAAGTCCAAAAGGGCAAAAATGGCGCAATTGTACCCAAAACAGAACTTGACCTAGATATTCATCTGATAAATCTGTACACTAAATTTCATTTCAGTATGTGCAACAGTTGCGAAGAAAATGAACGGAAACTGCAAATAATAGGAATTTTTCCAGTCCAAGGGGCATAACTCTGTCAAAAATTGTGCGATCGTACCCAAAACAAAACTTGATTTAGATATTCATCTGATATATCTTTACACCAAATTTCATTTCAGTATGTGCAACAGTTGCAAAGAAAATGAACGGAAACTGCAAATAATGGAATTTTTCTAAGTCCAAGGGGCATAACTCTGTCAAAAATGGTGCGATCGTATCCAAAACAGAACTTGTTTCATCTGATATATCTGTATACCAAATTTCATTTCAGTCTGTGCAACGGTTGTGAAGAAAATGAACGGAAACTAAGTGGACCGACAGACTGACCAACATACCGACAGACAGCAGCAAAGCAATATGCCCTCCCTTCTTCGAAGGGGGGCATAATAAACGAGAGAAAAATGTATACATAAAAGCAATTACATAGAAAATCTTTATGTAGGATCATTTTAAAACGCTGGAAGTAAAGGTAATCTTTATGTTCCTTCTTTGCCGTCAACGTGGCGTACCGATCCTCAGCTATATAACCAAAGGCCTCGAAGACTGGATCTGATCCCCCAGCCTTCTTGTGGAGTAGGGCAGTCGGGGCCTTGTGAGAGATGAGGCCACCTCCCTGCCAATGACAAGCCATGAGTTTACGCCAGTTCTGGGAAATGGCAAAGGCATATCCGGAGTACGTCGTTCCGAAATCAATGGCTGACACAAACAGTTTCTTGCTTTTACTCTTGATAGATTGATCCATTTAAAAAAAACTGGAAAATAGTAAAGTAGATAAATTTTTCAACTGCTAATAAATTTCAAAAGGTACATGAAATACAACCTTTTATTGAATTTATTTTATTTTGTTGCAGCTAGGGGATATTGCTCTATATTCAGAAGAACTGTATCCTTTTCCTATTTCTCCAGTTATCCTTTAATAATTGTAATTTTTTGAAAATATAGCATCCAACAATGTATTACCTAGCTGCAGATCTGTAGCTCTCCGAAAAAAAATATTGATAGACCGGAGAGCTACAGAGCCACCCATTGAAAAAATATAAAAACTTAAATCCAGAAAAAAAATTGTTCAGAGTAGAAATGTTACAAAGCAAAATTCCTTCACAAGTACCGTCATTCCGAACTAAGTCTTGTGTGCAAATCGATCACACTCGTGTTATGTGCACAGTTTTTGTAAACAGGGCAGGGGCTTTGTTATTGTTGATTGTTAACGATTCACCGGGTGCGTTCAATCGTCAAAGTCTAATCACCACAACTGCACGGACTGAGAATATATTGTGTGTTTGTTTTGCATTCGAACATGTCTACTCAGATTTTTCTGGATTATAGTATTAATATTTTTCATTTATACACATGTAGCGTTTCCGAGTAAAATTCTTGTCATTTTCTTGTTGATTACGAATTTCTTCATATGTAAGTTCTAAATCTGGTATTTCTCGTTGTTTAGCACGCTTTGGACGATTACGCTTTCTCCTTGTAGTTGGTACTGTTTTAGGCTCAGAATCACTTTTCTCTTCATCCTCACTTGTTACATTATATAACTGGAAAATGTCACAGATTATGTCATTTGCCACCTGGATAGTCTCCTTTGAATTTTCACGCAGATCTTTCACACGCGTCACTAAATCACCATCATAGATACAATGCTTTTGTTTACACTGTTTACACACATTTTCATTACACTCCTCTTTTGGTAATCTTGAGAGTGCATCAGCATTTGCATGTTGTTTTCCAGCCCGATGTATAATTGTAAAGTTATATGGTCCTAACTGTTGCAACCATCGGCAAATTTGTCCATCTGGCTCTTTGAATTTATGAAGCCACGTTAAAGATCCATGATCTGTTCTTAAGATAAATTCTCTTCCTAGTAGATAATATTTGTAATATTTCACAAAGTAGATAAGAGCTAACATTTCCTTTCGCGTTACGCAATATTTTTTCTCAGCTGAGCTCAGTGTTCTGCTTCCATATGCAATAACTTTTTCTCTCCCATCCTGAATTTGAGAAAGAACACATCCAATGGCTTCATTACTTGCATCCGTGTCTAATATAAAACTTCCACCATCGACATCTGGATATCCTAATATTGGCGCATTTTGTAATTTCTTCTTCAATTCAATAAAAGCTCGGTCACACTCTTCTGTCCATATCCATTTGCTATTTTTGCTAGTCAAAGAATGCAAACACTTTGCAATAGAAGCAAAATCTCTAATATACTTCCGATAGTAAGATACTAATCCTAGAAAACTCCTTAATTCTGTGACATTCTTTGGTGTTGAAATATTTTCTATTGCTTCAGTT